TATGAGAGAAATAGAAAGCTATGAAAAACAAATCAACGAGAGAAATCCAAAATCAAAGGATCTTAGATCTGGTCTCCCGCGGGAGGCCTCGAAGTGTGATATGGTAGGTTATGGCAATAACACTACGTACTCCACGGTTCATTTCCGGCCGTGGTTCGGTGTGTTCTTGTAGCGTGGGTTTCGCGGGCTAATTCTGAGCGTTTCCATCGACTAGTTTGACTGCGTCATGGAACCTGTTCATGTTCGCGTAAGACTACGTCTGAGTCGAATCACCTTTAGGATCGGTCGCGTAGGTAAACGGCGTGTTTGCCTTGACCTGGCCTCAAGAAGTGATGCTGTGGCAGCAATTGGGAAGTAATGGTGAGAGCACTGTTTATGTTTTTGTTCTCCTTTCTTGTTTCGAAGTCATAACCATCCTGACCTAGTTAGCAGTGGATTGCACAGGGGTGGATACTCAGTTTACTGTGAGTTTGCGTGTTCGTTGACGTTTCTTGCTACCAACCAATCATGGAAACGTGCAAGTCAAAGGTATACACCATGCACAGTAGACTTCAGATGGCTTGCTGGTGAGTGACCACGGTAAGGCTTCCCAAGAATGACATAAGACACCACCACTGCCGCTGGTTCTTCAGAGAGACGTCGCGCTCGTAGATTGCCTGGTCTTCGACGCCCATCGTCGGACAGGATTGGTCAGTGCTCCTTGGCAATCTTCGAAAGCAAGAGGCCTTGTCCTCTGCCACACCTGTTTTCTCTCTGGAAGAGGCTCCAGGATCCGAAGGCATCAAGGCAGGCATCCAAACGCAATGACGTTCGTTCCATAGTGTTGCAAAGTATTGTGCTGTGTACTGCATGATGTTGTTGCTTGGAGAAGAGCCAGCATTCAATGCCCTGCACCAGTCAAGTGTGGATGCAAACCAGAGTGTTAGCATGTTATTCAGTGTCAATCAGAGTACAGCTCTGGATCCAGTAGAAGTGGCTGTAGCCAGACGCAATCTTGTGTGGCTTGTCTTGGTGTCATGGATGTTGTGACCGTCTGGTTGAGTGAATCGTATCTACACAAGTAGGGACTTTCATTCTCTCAAACTCAAAACACTCGAAAGATCTTTACACTAGCTTTTAGCGTAGTGCATCAAAGAAGCGAAGCTTGTCTCGCAAACTGACCACTCAGAGCAACTCCCCTCTGCCATTGCCATCATCAGATCTGCTGATGTGCACAATGCAAACAACTTGAAGCCCTTGGCTGACCTACCAAGTACTGATAGGATCCTTCATCTCATGAACAATGCAACAGCTCACAATGACAAGCATGCGGATTGGGCCAAGACTCAGAAGGAAACATACCAAGGCAGATTGGATGACATCCAGAAAGTCTTGAAGCTAGAGCATTTCAGGGTGCAGAGACTGGAGGACCTCAAGCAAGAAGCCATCAAGAAGGGAGCCATCAACAAGAAGGAAACCCAGAGGCAGAGGAATGGTGGAGTGGACCAATCTGACAACATCAATGGCCTCAAGAGGTATGGCAAGCTCAGGGCTGCCTACCACTCTGATGATGTCAAGCAAGAGTTGATCCACAAAGGTGTTGGCACTGAAGACCTCATTGCTCTGAGGACTTTCACCATGAAGAAGAACAAACTCAGGGAACTGGAAGTGCTGAGGATCAAGGTTTTGCCAGACAATCATGAAGAGAAGTCAATGGTGAATCCTCCGGTGGTGTTCAGACCCATGTCTGCAAGTAAGTTTGTCATTGAGTAGTCCTGTTTCCAATGGGATCTCAATGACAATGAGCCTTCCTTTGTGTCGCCACAGCCCAAATGCAACATTGCTAGGACCTTCACTAGTGTGTGCCAGCCATTTGGCAAAAAAATTGAGCTTTCTCTCTGACCATGGCATCTATGCTACTACTTCCAATTGGTGGTAGCTGCACATGCATGGTGGAGAGTTACAACTGTATGGTGTTCTATGTCAGTCTTAACAATCTACATAGCAACTGATGCCATTATCTGCCATTGTCAGCATGTTTCTTTTATTTTGTTGTTCTTTTTGCCGCAGCCGTTGCTTTTTTCTGGTGTCAGACACGTCAGCGATTATGCACCAGGTCTACGCGCGCGGCGCGTAGAGGATTTCTGAGTACCAGAAAATCGATCAGTCTACGGGATCTGGGGGTCATAGACTCGGACTGTCAATCTACCGTTGTACCTCGCCTGTTTCGCCGGATGTGGCTGCGTGTTGTCTACCCGTACATGTGTACTACCTGTTCAGCAACCCTAAGCGATTAGATTTAGGGATAATAGTGACGTCATTCGAGGTTAGCTCGGTCACCCAAACCGCAGAAAACAGCACAACGGGAAAGCAAAGCACAAAACTATTATCCGGATACTTCATACCCAAAACAATGATGGTGAGATGGTGAAGATGAGGATCATGAAGAGACTATCTGCTCTCCGTAGGATACGAGCTACCCCAGCATCTCGTTGGCAGCGACGGCCTTTGTCTCATTTTGAAAATCCAGGCAGTAAACAGCAGCATCGACTGCGCCATGTGGGACTCTTTGGTCTAGGTGCTTGTGCTGCTACCGCAACCGTTGTCTTGGGTGGGATATCAACCAATTTGAATTTGACGACAACAACACACTGTGACAATGGAGGCGGTCGTCTACAGCGACATGGAACACAGACGGCTGTCGTCGACTTGGTGGTCCCGTCGTTGCAAGCACTGCTGCGCGTATTTCGATTGCTTCAGACCACGGGGATGATTGTGCTCGACTATGAATTATACAAGTGGCAGCAAAAAGCCACCAAGTTTGTCAACAAGTACAGTGAAAGAGTGGCTGCAAAATTTCCCGCTAAAAAGAGTCAAGAACAAGACTTTGATAATCTAAAGGATGAAGTGGATTTGTCGCAAATGACAACCCCTCAGCTCCGACAACACTGGGAACGAGAAGTCAAACGGCGCAATGAAACTTTTGAAGAGGCACAAATGGACTACGCGTTGCCTTCCTCCAAACATCAAATACCAGAGGGAATGACTCGTGAAGAGTGGAAACAATCCCAAAAACAAGCCATGAAAGATGCTGCAGCTGCATGGGTCCAGGCACAAGACATACTGGAGAAGTTGGGTGGCAGTCAAATCAGTCAAATCCATAAACACGCCGCACAACGACTCGTCAAGCTGTGCCGTACCAATGCTGGAGTCTACATCAAAATTGGACAGCACTTGGCGAACATGGATTATCTCATTCCACAAGAGTACATTGATGGGTTGAGCTGCTTGTTGGATGATGCTCCGACTTCTACCTATGAACAAGTCCAACAAGTCGTGCAGGAAGAATTGGGGGGCACTCCCGAACAACTCTTTAATGATTTTGATCCCGTACCGATTGCCAGTGCTTCACTGGCACAGGTCCATGTGGCCTATGACAAGAGCACAGGTCAAAAGTTGGCCATTAAAGTACAGCATCAGGGTTTGAGAGAAACCTGCAAGGGCGACCTGCTGGCATTGACTACTGTGGTACACACTTTGGAGTTCTTTTTGGAAGACTTCAACTTTGGATGGATTGCCGATGAAATTGCTCCTCAACTGCCACTGGAGCTCGACTTTGCCAATGAGGGACGGAATGCCGAACGGGCTGCCAGTTTTTTACAGCAACGACAAAAGCGACAACAAGATCATCCGGATGTAGTCATCCCCAAAGTTCATTGGCAACAAACATCCAAGCGAGTCTTGTGTATGGCGTTTGAAGAAGGCTTTCGCGCCACCAATGTAGAAGCCATTCGACAAGCCAACATGAAGCCCAAGGACGTGGCACAATTGATATCACGCGTCTTTCACTCCCAGACCTTTTTGGATGCATGGGTGCATTGTGATCCACACCCGGCCAACGTTCTGCTCCGGAAATCGCCCGTCACTGGCAAGCCTCAAATGGTACTGGTGGATCACGGTCTCTACAAGCAATTGGATGACGATTTTCGAATTACCTACGCCGAACTGTGGAAGGCTCTCATGATGGCAGATATCCCAACCATTCAAAGCTCTTGCCAGAAACTAGGCGTGGACGGCATGCTGTACACGCTCTTGTCGGGGTTGCTGACGGCGCGACCCTTTGATGAAGTTGTAGAACGCTCGAAAACGGGGAGCTTTGACTTGTCCGGCAAGGTCCAGCACAAGAGTCAACAAGACAAGGCTGTCATTCGAGGATATGCCCAAAAGTTTCTGGTGGACATCCTAACCATGATTGACAAACTTCCCCGACAGATGGTTCTCTTGCTCAAGATGAACGATTGTCTGCGTCACATTGACTATGCCTTGGGGTCGCCCACCAATAACTTGGTTGTGGCGGGGAGAGTAGCAGCACAAGCAGTCTATGAACACAAGCTGAAAGCTCCAAGCATCAGTACCTGGGATCGGTTCAAGGCATGGGCAGACTATGTCACGGTCATGTGGCGGATTCAACTATATGATATTGGAATTTGGTGGATGGAGTGGAACACACGGCAGAACCTAACAAAGTGATCGCCCAGACCGACATGGCAGTTTTGTGTCGACGCTGCGTGCACTGGAGACAGATAGCTCCATACCGAACAATGTGTTTGACACCGTGATTGCTGCATTGGTTTGCTTGCGTTAACCAGCAAATCTCTAGCGACAGAAAGCGATTCTAGGTAGTCTCTCATAGAAGAACTTAAAAGTTCAAGCAACCTAACCGGAATAACTATTGTAGTTCGGTGACACGAGACCGATACCATACCGTCGGGTAGTACTAAGCCAGCATAGGCATGGTAGCATTCAAAACCTCGACAGCACTTGGGCAAACCCTTTCCCCAAGCACTTGGTGCTCGACTGCCAGCAAGAGCCGACAGTATGGCCATCTTCCAAGCAGTGTGTTGGGTTTCTTCCCTCGTCCCTTCTCTTCGGCCCTCTGGCACGTAAAGAAAAGGCACCCCTGAGCATCCACATGCCGTTCTGTTCAAGTCGAGCAAGGAGCAACACACAGCTGTAGAACACAGCTAGCTTCAATGACCGTGGGATATTGCCGTTCCTGCTCTCGCACTGCATAAGCTGACTGTTTCGCTTCCCAGTAGACAGAACTCATCTTGTTTGTGTTGGATGACACAATCGAATCGAAGCAATTTATTCCCAGTCGTCTCCATGGGTAGTAGCTAGAAGAAAAAACCTCCCACGTCGGCCGCAAGAAAACTATCCGAACATTCAGCAGCCACCCTCATTGCATGCTGCTCGTCCTTGTTGTATCCGTCAGACGTTGCCTCACTCCCCAATGTGTTGGTGGTGGCAGGTGGGACGATCTCTCGGGTGTCCATAGAAGTGTCCTGGATGATCGAGACCGGAACAGCACCAAACGCCAATTGAACCCCGCGTCGACTGCGCCATGCCTCGGCAGAGTGCAATCCAAGAACAGCTAGTAGCAACAACAACATCAATCGGTTTCCATTCATCTTCTTATCTTTTCCCTGAACTGCGTACGGATTTGCGAATGATTGAAACAAAGAAGTGTGATCGCTGAAAGGATTGGATTTCTGTTGAAGGTGATTTGAGGTGGTGATCGTGAAGGCGAGAAACCTTCAATTTTGTGCATACGAACGCAAGAATTCAATAATTGAGAGAAAACCGAAGAGTTCTTCCCGTTCTTTGCCAGCTGTCGTTACCTTAACTACGGTAAGATTCGGGCTAATCAAGACATGTCACTGTACCGGTACCGTTCCAGGACCTTGGGGTAAAGATTGATTATTGGAAAAAAGCTATAAATAGTTTTGTTAAAATTTACAACTTGAACCGCTGTCTTTAAGTCTTAAGGAGGTACCACCCTCTTTTTAGTCACGAGTCGGGATTCGCACCATTTTACTCGAGAAAATCGCGACAACAACAACAAATTAGCGATTTCGATCGCTGCTGTTGGGACTGGCTAGTGCTCTTGTCCTACTCAATTCTGACAGTAGCTACCATTAAGTTAAATCTTCGAAACATAGTTGTTAAGAAGGAGCCACTTGGCTGGACAGTTGCAGGGGCTCCGGTCGATAGGTCTCAGTAGCAGCAGACTTAGTGGTCGATTTTCGACCGAATTCAGAGTTAACACTGAACTAAACAGTCTAAGCCCCAGCGACTGTCCAACTGGACGGGGTACTCTTGTTTGTTATATCCCAAGTACGATTTGTATTGGTCAAAGGCTTATAAGAGATCTCTATTCTACTCAACTGATCAGTCCAATTCAGCGAGTTTTTGCTGTTGTTGTCGTCGCGATTTTACTTGTTAATCCCAACTCATGACTAAAAGAGGGTGGTACCTCCTTTTAACCTAGGTGTGTCAGCATCGACAAGTTGCTCTTGTGTACCGGTAGCTGTGACATCGTTGCTAGCTAGCTAGCGTTAACACCCTCGAATCTAAACCAGACGTTGTTGTGGTTTCCAGGAGCAATAAAAGGTGAAACCAGTTCGAACGGAACTGAATTTGCAAATATTAACACCTAACCTCGGTCCCCAGTCCCCCTACTGTTTTTTATATAGTAAAGGGGTCGCGGGGGACCGATATCAATTGTTAGTTCTCCCTTCTTAGAAAAAGAATCAACGTCGTGGACCAGCGGTAGCCCTCGGTGCGTTTCCCACGTGTGTTTCGCCTGTACATGTAGCCCCCTCAGGGGGATGGAGAAATCCATTGCTCATCATTGCAAGCCAAGGTTTTTGGCAAGGCTACCACTGCCAACCACTCTCTACCGCTGTCTTCACCAGTACCACTATTTACTGCTATCTTTACTGCTATCTTTACCTCTGTTTACCGCTATCTTAACCACTGTTTACCACTATCTTACCGCTGTTTACCACTGTTTACCACTGTCAACCGCTGTCAACCACTGTTTACCACTGTCTTACAATGGAGAGGCAGTGATCAGCCATGAATGGCACTGGATTTCTCCACCCCCCAGCCCCTTTCCCTCATTTCTCCTTCAACAATGCGAAAATGACCGTCGGTGCCAGTTCTGGCTGGCAAAATGACTGGTTGCAGCAGCAACAACAGCGTAACCTTCTAGACTACTAGCATCAACAACAACACCATCTCTTCTATCCCTTCTATCTATCCCTTCTATAGCGACTACCACTAGGGAAACCCGGCTTATCAGGCGTGGAAGACTCAATAGCAAGCTATCGGATTGGAGCTATCACGATCGGTAGCTCGAGATCGACACAATGAGATAGAAGCAACGACGCGATAGACGAATCGACTCGACGTTCGGACTGGAGCATCGCATCGCGATCGAGAAGACGATAGGAACGATAGAAGCATCGGAACAATAGAAGCAGATCATATTATCCCATTATGTCCATTTCCCTGCAAGGCGACTATGCTCCTCCTGGCTACGTCAGTTTTGTTCCTCGCAGAGCCAATGGTAGTGGTGACGACACGATCCAGGGCAGGGTTGTTGCTTCTGGTAGCAAGAATGGTGCTCCCATTGCTGTGAATAATGGCATGAGCACTCCCGCATGGGAACGAGAACTATCGTTGGAAATATCGAAGTACAAAAGCCCAACTACAGAAGGCACCATGGCCTACAAACCGGGACCTTTCAACCGGGACCAACTGCAGAAAGCAGCAAAGGAACTCTGCTCACGGTGGGAAGCAGAAGAATCTCGTTATGAAGCAAACAAAGTGGAAGCAAGCAAAAGCCTTGAAGCAGAAGAATCTCAGTTTGTTCTAGTGTCTCGTGGGTGTACCAAAATTCCTCCAGACGACTTGACTCAATCTGCTCTCAATGGTCTGGCTTATGATAAGCTGTGGTACTACTTGTCTGAGGAGGGGGATCTGTTCATCATCAAGCTGGCATCTGGCCTGGTGTACGGTGTTGGAGTTAGTGAAGTCGTAACCGACATGAACATCTTTGCACGGCAATACACTAATGGAGGTCGAAGAGCCTTCCTTACAAGTACAGATGGAAAGCTTCGCCTGGCAGGAGGAGGAGTTGCAGCCCCAGATGCTGTCCTTCATCGGACCAACCCTGCACCGGCAAATCCACCGCGTCTCCGGTCACCACTTGTGGTTGAACTAGAGGTCGGAAAGCGTGGCCCAAAAGCATTGATGCTACAGCTTGACATGTATCTCCAGCAGCCGCACAGCATGTATGTTCTTGGTATCAAGATTTTCAAGAAGCAGTGCCTTCTGGCTGGCAACCCCTTCCCTGCTGTTGCCATTTTGTGGCGGAAAGCTCAGATTGCGGGACATAATCATACTGTTGTGGGAGTTTGGAACTTTGGGAGTGCAGATTTGCATCGACGTTCTGTTCAAGCCTTTTGCACAGCACCTGCAAGTGCGATTCTTGATGCACCTGCGGATACTGCTTTTCAACACAATCCTGCAAGCAACCCTGCAAACAACAATGTCATTACAGTGGACGCGACGTTCCTTGTGCAGGGTGTCCATTATCCCACCGGGGATGCAGTTCAGGCTGGACCTGATCTGACTATTGATCTTGCCAATGTATTCTATGCAAGCCGAGAGAGCAGATTAGAGCAGTCACCACCGCTCGTTTGGATGGTGGTTTAGATCTGGTACAGAATCAAAACCAAATCTGCGCCGAATTGGTCCAAGTTGGTGACTACCAGCCTGTTCAGATTTGGTCAAAAGCACTCAATAACTTTATCTCTAAAAGGCGGCCGCGGAGGTGCGTTGGATCTGAAGGGCCGCCAACAGAGGTGCGTTGGATGTGAAATGAAGCTGACCAGCTCACAAAATGGACCAAAACGAACACTCGGAACACCAGATCGATCTCGAGATTACTCAGGATCAGTCATTCGGTGGGTCATCGAGGTCACAACCAAATCTGAACCAAGTCCACGGTGTTGTTTAAACACGGCTCATCTGAACAACCCAGACAAAACTGCTTTAGATTGGATCAACCAAATCAAAACCAGATTTGAACAACTTCAATAGTGCCTGCTTTGGTTTAAAAAGGAGTATAGATTTTGTTTGAATGACCCTTCTGAACCAATTCTAAACCTGCGGTAGTGGCTGCTCTAAGAGCACCCTTATGACGTATTGTATTGAATGGAGGGTTATTGACGTTTCATTTCGATACAAGGAAACCGAGTTATTCCAATGTAATCTTTTAAAATGAGGTTCTAGACCCAGTTGGTATCACTTTTGGTGTTTTTGGTTGCTCCATCCTTATGCAAAGCCAGTGGTGCACGCGAATCAGCCAGGCAGCCCATGCCCCCTTGACTTATGCTGCCAGCATAGCCAGTCCATGCTTGCTCATCACCCCCCTAAATACACAGTCACGTATTCCCAAGAGATCATCAAAGAACAGCATGCGTCAGTAAAGAATATGCTGTTGTTATCTTGCGAATCCTGCTTTTGTTCCTGGAGAAAGGCCTTGGCTAACTTTCCCTCACCACAGCTGCACACAATTCGCAGCTGGCTAAGTTACCAAAAGGCTGATGGATAACATGTACATAGGCAAGCAAAGTTATACCAAGTGAATGACATACATGCCACGCAGCACAAGAAGACTCACTGCATGGTACTGCTGTTCCTTGAATGCACGCATCTGGTCTCTGCAGCCACACTGTGGTAGTAGCTATAGCGGAAGTAATTGACTTGGTGGGAGATTTGCCGCCCATGAAGGTCTCATTTGAGGTTCCTGGCAAGCCACTCCCTGAGAAGAGGATGAGAATGGGCAGGTGGGGTCTTTACCATCCTGGAAGCAAGGAGAAGGCTGCATTCAGGAAAACTGTACAAGAACTGGCCCTAGCTACACAACATGGAGCTATGTTTCCCACCGGTACGCCAGTTACAGTGGAGGTGTACTTCTGGATGAGGCGCCCCAACAGTGACTTTCAAGCCAGCAGGAGATTGATGGAAATTCTGAAGAATTCAGTTCCCTTTGTGAGACCGATTGTTCCTGACATTGACAATCTGCTGAAGTTTATATTGGACCGGATGAACCGATTGGTGTATTACGATGACAGCCAGGTTGTGAAAATTGTGGTTTTGAAGCTACTCGACAATGAGGGTGCCTGTGAGGGTAGGACTCATATTGATGTTTATCCCTTTGTTATGCCCTAGCGGACTGCTGAAACCGACAAAGTCGACGCAGGTATAGATGCCGACTTCCGCTAGGGCGGTGTATTGAAAATGGACTCCTGGAAGTACCCCATCCAGTGTCAATTTGGCCACCCACCAAGTACATCTTTAGGAGTCTAAAACTAGTCCATTTTTATGTATTCCATCTTTAGTATTCACTTCATAGAGGGTCGACAACATTGATCCAAAGTCCACCTTAGTATCATGGTGGATGTTGGAATTTCGCGAAAACCAGCAACAGCAGCGCCAAATGGACCCCTTCTACTAGGCATTAAGGACTTTATTACTTCTTATATCCAACCTGGTACTCAAGGCAAACTCCCCAAAAAACTTTTTAAAAAAGTGCAAAAGCAGTGAATTTGAACCTCTGACCTCACCAGGGCCCTTACTACCGCCTCCAGAAAACATGAAAAAAGACTCACTTTGGCTCCTAAAAAGCCCAATTTCGCCACAGCCACCCAAATGGGCCCCAAAAGATCTCAAATTCGCCACGGCACTGCCAGCAGCCCAGTACAAGCTACAACAGACAATCCATGCTACTACTATCATGCTGGAGCTGCTGATCAAACCAATGACATGCCTTACTGGCTGGCGAAGGAGGAATCAGTACTGAATAGAAACCTCCTCTGTACAGAGGTTTTCTCTTCCAAACCACTGCACAAACCTCCCATCTCAGTTGTGCATTACGCTGCTGCTGTTGTTCCCTCTCTAGCTCTCTTTGCTCTGCATATTGCTGCTGCTGTTGTAGACTCTCATCCATGACACAATCAAAAATGTCGCGCAGCCGAGGATTATTGTCAATCAGTGGCCCAAATACAGACGCAAAGTCATCCTCAGTGGTTGTGGTTCTGGATACCCTGCCACTATATGTGCTGTTGGAATTGCCATTGTCCCTTCTCTGAGTATCAACAACACTGAGTGGTTCACTGGCACCGTCGTTTGTTGGGTTGTTATTCTTTTTTCTTTTAGCCGGTCGACTGTCATTGGACGATTCTTTGTCCTTTCGGACGGCCTCTCAAGTTGATGCCATGCTTGACCAGTTCTTCCTTGAATCTCTTACCGACATCCTTGATATTTGGCTTGTCCCTTCCCTTTTTTCTAGAGATACTGTTGTATATTGTCGTTCCTTCCTCAACGGCCTGCTCTTCTGACATGTCCTTTTCAGTCATGAGGTGCTGCATCAGACGAAACATCGGACTCCGATGTGACCACCACTGCCTTCGACCTCCACTGCCATTCAAGTCGCTTCTCCACGCTCCTTCCGTTTCAGTCTCCAGTTGTTGCCACTTGTCTACCCAAACCTTCCAATAATCGGCAAATGTTTTGCAGCCTTTGTCACTGAGCAGAACTGGATCTACTCGACTGTTGCCATCACTGGACTCGTGTGCGCGTCGCCTGTATTCTTGTGAGATCGCTTGCTGCTGGTGAACCTTCGGCCGTCTCTTTCGTGGGGTCCTACCGTCTGCCAAAGTCAGTGATGGTTCAGATGGAAAATCGTTGTTCGGTTCCTCTCTCCTAGCAACTGGAGAAGGAGTGACAGCTGAGATGGTAGATGAAAAGGTATCAGGGCAACACCGAGTTATCATTTGTCTCATGTCTGCAAGTGTGGATTGGTTTAGCTGGTAGATCTGAGCAATTGGGCCAGCAATGTGCTGCTTTAGTAGACGCTCCACATTCGACTCAGTCTCACTAGTGAAGAGCTGCGCAGTTGATTGTTTTGCCCGTAGGCGTCCCAAGATGCTTTGCTCGAGCAAACCAAATGGCTCCTTAGAAAAAGATGGTAGGTGGAACAAGGCAGCCAAATCATCATTGAGAAACCGCTGCCGAATACTTCTGGTGTCGTTCCCAAGCATGAAAGTTCTGGGATCTAACTCGGGCGAGGCAGCCATGATAATGAATTGTCGAATATCCCAAAGAAGGGTACATGACACCAGTCCCAGTTTAGTGTGTAGCCGTCGATCGGTGCGCGCCTTGTAGGATTTGGTGGCATTAAACTCAGCTCGGATTGTTTGTTCTTGTGCCACCAAATCGGGTAGAAGATCTTTCAAAATGCCATCACACCAACGGCACTCCTCGGTGGATAACATGAATGGCGTCGGGTCAAAGGTTTTGGGTTGCTTGTAGTCGCCACCGGCTCGTTGTACCACCCCTTTGGTATGTGGATTGTTTGCGTAGCATCGAGTGTGAACTGTTTGTTCTTTTCCCTTGTGTCCACACATTCGGTGCTGCACAGGCAAGCTCAAACCAAGTCGGTCCATTTCCTGGATTGCCTGGAAGTGCGGTTGGTGGGTAACCTTTTCACAGGTAATGTCATTGTCGTAGTAGAAACTGTCAAAGTTTGTTGTGAATTGAGCAGATTCTATGTGTTTCGAACGGTCGTCTAAACATGGGTATGTCCAAACACCGAAGATGGCCTTGTAGTTCTCGCCAGTGAAATCCGGGAATACTTCATTGTCCACCTTGAGCCTCCACAGAAACAAGGCACCTGACCATGCACCTGCATCCTTGAGAGAATCCATGTTGGGGATAATGTAGGTGTACTCCAGGCAGCCATCTTTGTTGTGCTTTGCCTTATTTGTGAAAATTTGGCAAGCTCTCATTCCACGAAACCCGATCTCGTCAAGGGTGGTATGATTGCGCTGTATTAGACGTTGGTCGCGGAATTCCTCTCCTCTTCTCGTTGTGGCACTCATTGACCAATATTGAGAGGCAAACTGAAGCCGGTAGTAGAATGGATGTACCTTGGCCACTGCTCCATTGGGCTTGGCGCGAAATACAGATAATGCCATATCTCTAGTTTGTTCCGGAGTTAGGAGCTGCTGAAGCCCGGCTTGGATATCTTCACATGCGTCAAGTGATTGAGCTGCTGCACCGGATGTGACCGTAGACACACTTTTCTGTATAGACAGCGACTCTCCAACCTTGATTTGGACCAACTCGGCATATTGATTGACTTCCTTTTGGTGGGAGTAGTGTTCACACTTTTAAAAGATGCGTATTCACAAACGTCTTAGCTTTGATAAGAACCGATTTGCCAACATGAAGATCAGCTGAAAGAAACCGAAAGAATCCATCGGTTCTCTCCCTACATACTGGTGGTTTTGAATGTCTTCTCGCTTGCTGTACAACTGTAGACCATGGTTTCGAACCCATGGCTCCTGTTGGTTAATCGTTCCACAGTAACGAGGAGCGATGCATCGAATCGCCCTCTCTACTGATGGCTTGCAAATGTGATCTTGTTCCATGTTGGGATAAAGCTCCAGTAACGGCAGAATTTTACAATCGGCCGGAGGTACCGACTCCTCGGTTGAGAGCTCCAACTCGTCGTCCAGATCCGGTGCTTACTGTGGGATATCTTGTTCATACTCGGCAGCAGCAAAAGTATCAAATTCGGCCCTCGTGGTGGCTTCTTCGGCAATGGAAATGTCGTTAGTCAAGTTACCGACTCTGGCTGCAACAGCTGTATCAGGGGAGCTACTCGTCTTTCCAAATAGCAGATAGAAACTATGAGAGGGGTGGCAACCCAGTTCATTGGTGCTGCTCCTGGTGCTATTCCTGGTACAGGTGCCACCAACACAACCTGCACCGCCACCAGTAGCAGCAGTATGGATGGTACTCTCCCATTTGAATGCTGCGAATTCCTAAGTGTTAATGCTAGTTTGGCCCACCATACTCTCAGAGCCAGGCAGTCTGGCAAAGGAGCCCACCCGCCACTAGGGACTGGTGTCAGCTGAGTCCCCTTTGGTGGGGGAAGCAGGCAGGGTGGAGGCAAAGTTTCCCAAAAGTAATCCGCAGAGGTACAGGGAGATTTCTACAGGGATCCAGTAGGGTGTGCAGGTGCGCGCACGAGAGAGATGTTATACAGTGAGAAAGAATGTGTATTTCACCGGTAAGCACAACCCCAATCTTAATTTCGATTTCACTGGTAAACACTTGAAGCGCGATCCAATCCCGGATTTTGTGACTAATAAAGACAGTTAAGAGAGCAAGCCGAGAACCTGTATTCACCCTGTCACATTTTGTTTGCCAGCCCAGCTCAGCTGGCAAACCGGAGGTATATTGTACTGTACGGTGCGGTACGGTGCACAGGGTACAAAAATGGTCACCGAAAATTGTCTGCTAAAAGACTGTCCACTGATAATTCAGAAATAAATACTTGACAATACTGAAAGTGTTCGGGAGAAGTGTTCAGGAGAAGTGTTCGGAAGCAGTGTTCGAGAGAAGTGTTCCCAAATTTGCAGGGGAATGCGATTCTCAGCTTGCCTTTTGATTATTGTTAGCGCAGCATGGCTTTACCAATACCTTAGCCAGCTCCCACAGCACTTCAGGATTGCATTCAGATGAGGTAGTCTACCGTACGGTACCGGTACGGACCAATACGAGGTGGAATACAACCATCGAGGTGCGGCAGCAGAGCGACAGGCAGTCTCTTCCAGCCAACCCGAGCAACTTGTCTTTGCCCCCCACCCCCAACATTTGGAGCTTGACGGTCTCGGAGACTTGGGCCCGAAACGTTGAGCTAAAGGCGTTCCATGCTATCTTCCACTGGACCAAGCTGTCAACCCTCGGGTCGGCCATTTCCAAAGTACCGGTATATCTTGGCTGAATGATTCTACCCGATATCAAGAACCTTCGTTTAGCAACCTCTTTTTGGCACAGTTCCTGTACCGATAGCTAGCGGGCGTACTGCAGCTTCCTGCGCGAAACTAAACATGCTTCAGCCCATGACTGATATCTTCGTGCTCATTTGGATCCGTTCTTTGCCGTAGTTTCTTGTTGTGTCGCGGCATGAATCTAGCCAGGTAGTGTACGGTAGGTAGCTAGTCAGCTGCATTTCCAAATGCATCACCAGCCAAGACAACGGAATGAGCGTGAAACGTCTGGCTGGTCTTTTGAAGGAGAAACCGAAATTCAACTTTCACATTCTTCGGATTCGATTAAGCGCCATCCTCTGCCTGTCGAGACGATGGTTGGCCTCTTCGATGGATCAACAAGGGGATTCCCAACACGAAAATTACTTCTTCTACTTGCTCCTCTGATTCAGCCGGCGCCTGACGCCGTCGTTGATGTCTCAGATAGTGTCGGCGTCCCCATAGGATGAACAGAACAGCCAGGCACATGTACGTCGCAATTCGCAACGGAGAAAAGTTGCCGTTTTGGTTGCTGCTATTGTTCTCTTCCTCAAAATGGGCACGGCTTTCTTCCAACCATGTCGATGCCTGATCTCCCAATACATCATGCAGCGACATCTCTTCCTGAGGACGCCGCATTGTTCTTGTCATGTTGTGTTCGAGTAAGAATCTCTTGGATCCAATATCTCCAATTTGTATTCGATTGTCGAGTCCAGTCGAGTCGCCTACGATACAAACTTTTCTTTGATATCCGAACTCACCATACAGGTCCAGAGGTCAGCGGCGCCGCATTGCAGTGCTCCAACTTCCAAGTCGTCGACATTCAACAGTTGTTTCGGACACACTCTCTTCTATCAACGGGTTTGTGATTTGATCGAGGTCGACATCACGAAAGCTTCGATCTTTCGCTGTCGTTGCTCTTTTAATAGTAGCCCTAACGCTACTGTGCCGGAGTATGGATTCAAACGTCCACTGTGCCGGCTACAGGGCACTGGAACCAGTACGTACATCGTACCATTGAGTATCCAGACGGGTCCTTTTGACGAGGTTGGCTCCTCGCTTGCACCATTCTGCAACCGTACCGACCTACATGTACTAGCACCATGAATTGCTTACGGTAGCTACCTGGTGCAGAAGTCACTAGCTAGTAGTTTAAATCGTCTTTTGACGCTGGCAGCGATGCCACTGCTGTAGTCTTTCCCTCTGTCATAAATGCCATGAAACCACCAGGCTTTGGCTCCGAGGACACCCTAAAAATTGCTCTGGCTGGTTGGTCCACTCTCTCTATTATGATCCTGGAGCCGCAGAAGGTGGTACACTAATTTCCTCTTCCTGGTTTGCCATTCCCAGTTTCAAATTAGCCAGCTGCTCTTTCAACAATCTCACTTCTTCCTCCAAGTGTCTCTTTTCCCTGGCATGCTGCCGATGCATGTCATCCATTTTTCCATTCAGCTTTCTGATTTCGAGCTGTGTATTTTGAAATCCCGTAGCAATGAGTTGCTGCAAACTCGCCATCATGGCAGCATTGGTAGCTCCTTCCGTACCAGTAGTCATGGTTGTTGGTTTGGGGTTTTGTTTCGTGTCCAATAATTCGGGATCACGATCGGCATGACAGAGCCATGGATTTCTGCGAACGTAGTAATGAATGGCATCCAAATCATGGGAGAACTTCCCAAATGCCGTCATCCATTTGCCTCGCGATGTGGCCGTGGTCAGTAGCTCTTTGCGACCACGACAATTGAGTCGCAAGTAGAGATCCATTTCGGTTCGTTTGCTGGCATCCAAACACTGGTATTCGCCTTCTTCTTCGTCTTCCTCTCCTCGTTGATCCAGTGTCAAAAAGTCGACCTTTTGCAATGTGTAATTGGATTGGAGTAGCTTGCAAAATGCCGTCTCGACGGGTTGCCCGTACCCAATGGGCGATGTCACTTTGAATTTGACGAGGGCTGACTCTGCATTTTGTTCCAAGGCTTCGGCTACCTTGACTAGAAAGGTATCCAAATTGGGACATCGTTCATCAAATTCCATTTTAAAGACCTCGAGTGTCGTGTTGGCGCTCAAGGCATTGGCGAGCAATGTGAGGGACTGTACACACGCCCGCGTTCGCGTGGAGGGTGCCAAGTGCAGTTCGAGTTTTCGCAGCGACGTGCATTTTGCCAAGCAGCGTCCGACATCCTTTAATCCTTCATTGGATAGGTTGAATTCTCCCAGTACGAGTTCTTGCAAATTGGGGCATTCCAGAAAGAGTCCTTTGAGTGGATCGGACGACTGGAATTGATAGGGATATCCTTCTTCGTACCAACTGTACGTGACGAGATCCGCTTCGATCAATAGTGGCAATTTGGCAATGGCTTCGACCATCTTATCAATGGGGTGTGCCTCTGGTTCGTCGCTATCGTCACTGGGCAAGTAGAGATCAAAATTGTTGGTAATGACACACGATCGGATACAGACGCACTCTTCCATGGCGGCTGCCAATGCGTCATGCTGCTCTTGATGCGTGCCTGTCAAGTTGCAGCCATCAAAGACCAACGTCTCCAGTCGTCGTTTGGTCCTTTGCAGTAGAGTGGTAATGCGTGTCACGGGGAATGTCGACAATGGAGTGTCATTCTCTTCCGTGGTACCCGCACTCCCCAAATTTTCAAATCCTAAATGGACGACCGAATCCAAATTCCCAATCACATCCAACAGGAGACCAATGTCGGGAGCACTCCAATCGCGAGACTGCTCTTCGTGTCCATCCACCAGTACAATGTTACACAGATGACACTCGTCGTTATTGTGGTCATTGGCAAACGAAGTCTGTAGCTGCGTCGTCAATGACGACACGTCGGAATCGTCGCCAATCACCAACGAAAGTTGAACATATTTGTTCTTCTTGGCAGTCTTCAAATCAGCCACTGTTGTAGATGCCGGCATGTTGGAATGGTACTGTATGGTATGGTGTGGCTCGTCTATTAAAAATACTGTAATTTAATCACCACACCGCCTCTTGATCTCCTCCTCTTGCCTTCAACCACACGAGTTTGTGGTCTTTGGTCTTCAAAGATCAGCAGAGATGGCTCTCGCAACTTGCATTGGTTGTGAGGCTTCGAACGGATCGGAGCCAAATCAGTCACGATTTAAGGAACTTTTGAGAAATAGCTGAAAATATGCGAAATTGGAATGTCGAAATTTGAAATGTGAGGAATCAGTAAAATTACAATTGTAAGGAATCATTCCATCTGATATTGAAAATTACAATTATTAGGAATCAGTAAAATTGTGATTATGAGGAATCAAAATTAAAATTGAGAGAAATCAAGAAATTGAAATTGTGAGGAAAATTGGAATTGTGAGAAATCAGCAAAATATGAAAGTGAGGAAACGGGATTAAAAAAACAAATTGTGAGAAATTGAAATTGAAAATTTGAATAGTGAGAAATCGGTGAAAATGTAATTGTGATTTTTGAAAATTTTGATAGTGAGAAATCGAAACATTGAAAATTGAATTGTGAGAAGTTGGTAAAATTGTGATTGTGAGGAATCGGATTTTCGAAAATTGGAATGTGAGGAAGAAATTGAAATTATGAGAAATTAAAAAGTTGAAATTGTCAGGAATGATTCAATCAGATATTGAAAATTGCAATTTTGAGAAATCGGAAAGATTGAAATTGTGAGGAATGGGAAAGCTCATACGATTTTAGCAAAAAGTGACTGAATTAAGTAGGTTTTAATCAGCACAAACTGCCGAATCGTTAAAACACGAGCTTTTACTCTGTGGTAACTTTTCGGTTGTTTGACTTTTTCATCCCCCTTGGGAATCATCAGTGCTTGGGCTATTGTGGTACTTATGAAATCGAGGTTTATGTCCGCATGCTCCAGGAGTTGATCAGCTTTTCTGGCGATTCTCTGGATCGTTTCAGTATCTCGAGTCGCTCCCTGTTGCATAGGCTGCAGTGTCGTGTCCCGAAGGTCTTGACAGTGCTGATGGGGTTGCCTTGCCATAGGATGCTAATTTCGATGCTGTTCCTTTGAATGTCGGAATGGTGAAGGATGTGCGAAGTTTTGGAATGGGAAAGCTGATATTGTGAGGAATGAATCGCAAAGTTGGAATTGTGAGAATTTGGAAGGGTTTGCTACATGTTTTGGGTTGGGGAAGCTGTTGGGGAAGAAGTGGGCGGTACGGTACCGGTATAGGCAGCCTACTAACTACTAGTAGCTAGCGGTCGTCAATCTATGTTCCCCACCCTGTGATGAGGAGCATCATGGCGAAAGCTCTGGTCTGCACAGAATCGAATCCCATAACATTGGATAACGTTGAAGGCAAGCACAACAGGAAATGGCTGCCATCCTCCCAAGAAAATATCCAGGTAGCTAGCTAGCCCTCAACGTGTTCAAAGTTTTTCTGTAGAACAAGGCTGCGTACCGGTACCGGTATTGATGCCTCCAATGTTACTTTGGCAAAATTTGTTTTGAATGTTGACCAGAAAACACCAGCTGTAGTCTTGGTGCCAAGGCACCTTTGCTCCAGCACCTTTTGCTTGCTACCACGTGCATTGCCCTACCGGACACCAGTACCACTTTTGCATTGCTCTTTAGTAATAATGATAAGCTACAATCTTTTGCGTCTCTTCTCTTCCACACATCATGTGCCAACCTGATGCAGAAGCATGCATTCCAATAAGCATTTCAATGCTGCATACAACCAATATCAATACCATACCATCTCCACTGCTTTCTTTTCTTATTCTTGCGTACCGACTTCCTCCCCCGCTTCTTCTTCATCTTCTTCAAATTCCGCCATCATGGTGGGGTCGACATCAGAAATGTCCATACACTCGGCACAAAACATGAGTACTTGTTTCCGTCCAATTTCCAATGCCGCCCGTGGTCCCATGGCATAAACGAGTGTGACATCTTCACCGTTCGATGATTGTTGTGTTTGTGTCATCATGGAAGAATGATCCTTGTGCGAGAGAAGTTCGGCGACGAGTTTGTTGTCTTCGGTCAATTTTTCGCGGAGGAGATAGTCCGTCTTGACGAATTGTTCGAGGAGTCGATCGACATTGGGAGTGCCGAGGGTATCTTGATCGCCCAGGACGTGTTGTCGTCCTCCGGCCTTTTTGGCACTGGCAGAGGGTGGTTCCGCGGGAAGGTTGGGGTCCAATTGATGAAGTAACGCGTAGAGATCGACTTCGGTAATCCAACGGGATCCATCGGGCAAATTGGCTCCCTTGCAATAGGCAAACGCGAGAATGACCATGAGGAGTCCTCGTTCAATGGAAGCGTGGGTGTGTACTTTGAGCAAGTCTTTGGAGTGTTGTTCCAGTTCCGTGTCTTGTGTTCTCACAAAGAGTCGATCGGTTTTGTATTTTTTGGGGACCGACTTCGCCTTGTCCATGTATTTGGGCAGTCGTTTGAGTTCGAATCCAAAGACATTGGCCAGTCGGTCCTTGACTTCGGCATAGGCGGCGGTGGAGATTTTGTCTCCGGCAATGCCAGCTTCTTTGCACGCCTTGACGCGATCAATGGGTTCTCCGGCCAATGCCTTGAAGAGAACGAGACGAGAGAGATCCAACAGCGCCTTTTCGCGTTGGGATGCCTTCAAGTTGTCCAAATTCTTTTGCTCCGATGGCTTGACGGGCGCTATTTCTTGGGAGGGTTCCGCGGCTACCTGGGAACAACTGAAGCAGGCATCGGCTTCCAAGTCCTCCTCGCCGACGACCGAACGACTCTTGCGCTTCTTTTTGCTGGTTTTGGGCATTTTTACAAATAATTACAGATGGCCAATGACGCTGTCTACTTGAGATGGCTTGTTTGTTGAGGTTTTGATTGCAGTACCGTAGAAGTATTGCTTGGCAGACTCCAGTAATTGTGGATTCCTCTACTGTGCAGTACTTACAAACGACTTGGTTTCTTCTGGCAGCTTGGGGCAAAGAGGATAGATAGCGGTGGAGACAGCGTACCGGTACAGTATGTAGCTTCTCTTCCTTCCTCCAACAATGGCGTCTTTGTTTCCCTCGCTTCGTCTTTGGTTTTTGTGTGCTTCGCGCCAAAAAGAGTCACGAATAACTCCGGACTGATTTGCGCGCGTCAACCGAACAGAGATGCCAATGCCGCGATCTTCGTGGTCCATGAAAAAGATCTCACTGGTTGGCCTGGATCCAATCAACCACAACAGCTCCAACAACCTTGGATCATCCAGCAGCACTCCTTTAGAGTTGACTTTTTCTATTTTAGTATTAGAAGGACAAAGCCACGATGGCAGGAGAAGAAAGCGCTGCCCTTACCGACGAGTTGTTTGAGAAGGTTGTCGAAAGGATTTCTTCCACCTCATCCTCCACTACCACTACAACTACCACTACAAGCAATGACACCAAGTTGCGGCTCTATGGTCTCTACAAGTACGCTACCCAAGGACCCTGTCAAACACCCGCCGCATCCATCTGGAATCCCACGGCCATGGCCAAACAGCGGGCTTGGAAAGCTTGCCACGGAATGACAAAGAAGCAAGCCCAAATGGAATATGCTACCCTGGCGGGCTCGTTGGATGAAACCTGTCAGACATGGTTGGAAGAGTACCAATCCAAGATGATGGAGGAACCAACAATCCAATCCACAAAAGATCCGCCAGAAAAAGTACTCGATACAGAGGCAAAAACCAAACCAAAGAGGAATGTCACTAGTGCAAAAGAAGGGATTGACACATCGATCCATGAAAACCCCTCAGCTTTATCATCAATCTCATTATTAGGTTCTTGGATCCTAGATTGGCTTTTATTCTGGATTCTACCCACGCCAGTGATTCCTCGTGGTGCCCTCGATATTGACTGGTCTGATCTTTGGTTTGCTCTCATGGCTTGTGTCAAGGCTGGTCTTTTCTATAGCAATTCCAAATTACAAAAACTCCAAGATTCCATTCTGGAGGACATACAACAACACACTCTGTTGAATACACAACAACAACAACAAAATACAGCACAAGATGCAGCAACACAAGTTGTGGTCGGATACTCGGTGAGATCACTCCTCGATTTGTATCTCATGCACAAACGGTATCCACCGAACAAAAAACAAGTCATTATCGTTCCTCCCATCAACATTCCGGGAATGGTGCAGATAATGGAACATTATGGCTTGCAAGTGGTGCCCGTGGATATTCCTTCGTCTTCTACCACCACAAACACCAGCAGGATGACAATTGACCTGACAGCCGTCCAAACCGCCATTACAGAACAAACCGTGGCGATTATGGTCGTACACGCCTTTGGAAACAATCCTACTGCTACTACAACCATTCAACAACAAGAATTGCGCAATCTAGCCAATCAACACAATCTGGAACTATGGCTCGATGCTGCAGAATCGTACACTGGAGATTTTAATAATTTAGCAGCCAGTTCGGTGTCGTTTGCTGCGGATATCACATTTGTATCCTTTGGTATGATCAAGACGGCCACATCACTGGGTGGAGGCATTGCCATTTTGCAGCACCAGTGCGATTCGGTCGCAGCGGCCATGAGACGTTTGCAGTATCATCACTATGATGCGCAGACGACCTGGCAGTTTGCCTGGACCAAAGTCTGCCAGGCCATACTCATCCAAGCAGTTTCCTCCAGCCCCATTGTCTACGGGATCTTTGTGCACCTGTGTCTCCAATGGGGTGGCTACGTTTTTTTTGACAGCATGGTCACTCGCAATGTAAGGAGCATCCAGCCTCATGACAACAACAACAACAACAACAACGACAACAACAACCGCAGTGCCATACGGATACGACCCAGTCTGCCACTCTTGCAGTTGTTGCATCGACGATTGAAACAATCCACACGTACCAGGGTAACGGTGCGAGATAGAATGGAGCGGTGCCAAGAAATGACGCAGATACTCCAACAGCATGCTCCTGGAATTGGAGTTCTCGAGCCATCTTCAGCTGTTGGCGCTGATACATACTGGCTATATCCCATTCAAGTCAATACGCGTGAAGAAGCGAACAAGAGACGGATTCAGCGATACCTATTGGAAAAGGGCTGGGATGTGGCTGCCGGGACATCGCAGTTGCAATGCGTCCTTCCCACCAACACGGAGAAACACTCGACACAACAAAACATGCAGAATTTCATGTCCAAAGTTTTGTATCTACCTATTGCTAGTCGGCCCCTGTCAAAACACCAATCCATAGAGTTGGCTGCACACTTGCAGCAAGTTGACGCAATGAATAGTGATGATGAAAACTGGGACCGTGGCGGCTCGAGTATCATGGCCCCATCAAAGAAATGGACTGTACTCCCTGTCCTGTTACTGATGTTCTCGTCAATTGGTGGAGGTTACCCGGCACCGAACTACATCTTGATTGTGATGCTACCAGCTCTGATATCGCTGCTGCTGTATAGCTTTGTTCTCATGGTCTGTTTGGCTTTGGCCGTGAGATGGCTAGGCAACTCTTCTCTGTATCTAGAGTCATCCACGGGGTTTGCTCGCTACAGCAGCATGATTGATCAAATGTGTCTCGGGGAGGATGAAAAGATTTGCCTTGACTCGAGAAGAATAACCAAACAGTCACCGTCATTACAACAACAAGATGTCACTCGAGAGCCGCCCTCTGCACAGATTGTTGCACCGAATGCCAGTGTTATTGCTTCGATGCCACTGTTGGATCTGCCAGCAGTCTCGCCGCTTGCAAAGGACCTTCGTGGTTGTGCTATTCTAACTGGCGCGACGGGTTTTGTGGGGTCGCTGATTCTAAGAGAGTTACTGTTCCATCGACAATCCTTGAACCTGACTGCAGGTGTCTTTGTCCTTTGTCGAGGCAAGCGATCGCTAAGTGCACAAGAGAGGATCGATCAGTTGTTGAAACAGGAAATGTTTTCGTTCCTTTCTGAGGCTGAGAAACGAGACTTGGTTCACGTTTTGCAAGGGGACGTGACCAAAGCTGGTGCTGGGCTGTCGGAACAGGATATGAACCAACTGCTATCCCTGGGGACACAGAAGAAGATCGTTGTTACGCATGTGATTCATTCAGCAGCGTCTGTGAGCTTTACGCAGGAACTTGCGGAGGCGGCCCAGTCAAACATCACCTCTGCTCTAAGCATGCAGAGCCTAGCGGTGAAACTTGGTCAGGCTCAGTCACAGAGCGATAAGATGAAAGAAATTCCACGAATTCGGTTTGTCCACCTGAGCACTGCGTTCGTACATGGCTCAATGTCAGGTAGCAAAGAGGCTCCCCTGCCCGAACAACTGTTTCCGCTTGACCCGTACGAGCCTACAAAGTTGTACAATTCCATGCAGAGTACTCAGTTCTATGCGTCGAAAGCCATGAGCGACTTGCGTTTTCACAATACCTACGCGTTCTCCAAATGTGTTTGTGAGCACTTGCTCCTTCAAGAAGACAAGAATTGCCAACAAAATGTTGAAACCATGATTGTTCGACCAAGCATTGTTGGTCCGGCGCTAGAAAGCCCTGAGGAGGGATGGGCCGGACAGAAGCCGTCGACGATCGTTGCTGCGGCTTCGCTGTATTTGAGTTATCAATGGAACCTCTGGTCTTTTGGCTCCTCCGATGTGCCATGCATACCAGTGGACGTTCTGTCGCGCTTTGTACTCCGAGTTGCATTCGAGCAAGCCAAATCGGAGGACACGAAGACAGTAGCTGGATCGACAGCAGCTGAAGTTTCATCGTCTGACGACAGCTTTGAGCGCGTAAGTAGCTGCAGTTCATTGACTCGGTGCTCTTCGAATAGTCAAGAGACCGGGGATGACTCTGCGACAGAATGGCATATACCGCGAATCAGAAATGCAGCCTGGAGCCCATCTTCTGCGGAAGTTGCCATGTTCTCGTGGCTTGACTACTGTGTCGCCACACTTCACTTGGGGTCAAACACGGGCTACTTCAACCGTTCCACTGCGTACGTGGGTCTTTGGATCACCAGTCGACTATTGCCTCGCATCCGACTGAGCTTCCCCGCGTACTCGGCATTTCACTACTACCTGGTTCAAACGCCAATCCAAGTAATGTTGAGCCTTTGCCGTGGTTTTGGCTGGCAGGATTCATGCTACAAGCTATCCAAACTGTCAGGCTTCTTGGACCTACCCTTACTATTCTTCCCGTACATGAACGAAACCTTCCATTTCCAATCGAGTCTTTCAGCCCCGGAAACGATGAATGGCAGTCGCTACGTGTTTTCCTGTGCTGTGGCAGCACATCGTTTCCTCACCAGAGTCAACCGTAGACGTAATCAGCCCCACGATCGACTAAAGCACGAAAACCAAGAGCGGATGACTTCCTTCTGTATCGGTGGAAAGGAGCAAAAGCTCGCATGCGGTCTTTGGTGGGCCTTGACACAACCCAATGGCAGCATGGCAATTCGCCTTGCTGGATGGCTTTTTGCTTACATCAGTGGAGCTACATGCCAATCAATCACCGTCGATCTCCCATCATTTGAAGCCGCTTTGCGGATGAAATTAGACGCAGCAAAGGCCGCCAGACAAGAATCTGACGAAATGTACATCGTGTTGGCGCCCACGCACCGATCGTTTCTCGATTTCATTCTTCTGAGCTACCTTACGTTCATCGTGCCTGAACTTGCAATTGACATCCCAAAGATTGCCGCCGCAGACGACTTTGAGCATCTCCCTGTAATCGGATGGTTGGCACAAGCGTTGGGAGCTTTTTATGTAAGGCGTGGGCTGGGCAGGGCAGACCCGGAATTGCGGTCGCAAGTGACAAAAATGAAGCAACATGAAACATCTGTTATTGAAGTTTTCCTAGAAGGGTCCCGAAGCCGAGACAGGCGTTTCATGGAACCCAAGACTGGTCTATTGAGGAGTCTAGCCGAGACAGGAGGAAACCACCTGGTTGTACCCATTTCCATCAGCTACGAGAAACTGCCAGAACAGGATATTCTGGCGCAGGAAGCTGCTGGCCAATGTGGCAGACATTCTTTGAATACAAGTGGCCTTCTCCGGTGGCTGATGGTATGGCGTACAGCAGGTTCATGCGGGCATTGTTGCGAATTTCATTGCATTGTTCTTACGAAATTGTTTATTTGACTTTGTAGGATGTAGCGCGAGGCAATGTTCATCTCGGGAGAATACATGTAGCTGCAGGTCGTCCACTGGGCTTGGACTGCAAGAGCTCAGCGGATTTCAAGCAGGTTGCGCAGACTGTCCAGGTCGAACAGCAACGGAATTTGTTCGCTTCCGACTATCATGTAGAAGCAACCGCGAAAGCACTGAGTATGGACATAGAAACTGTCCGATCGGCGATGACTAGCCTTGGCTGTCGGTTTCTACCTACACAAAATGTGACGTCCGCGTTGAACTTACCCAAAGACTCGTCTGAGTTTTCTCGATCATGCTTCATCTCAGCCACGAACTTGCAAGAGTTTGCCCATGTCAGCACAAAGGCTGGCGACAGTGGCTGAACAATTCATGCGAAGAAAACGACCAGCTTTCTGATCACGGACCCGAGGTCGCGTCGTTGTCTCGGTCTCTTTTGTCATTACTTACCGCTGCCGATGATCAAGCTGAGAGAGCCTTCGTCGAACTGGTTGCCAAAGGATTCCATCGACCCAACCTGCAGCACTTGCAACAAACAGCTCAGAAAAGCTCCAATGCGCATGACACGGAGATACCGCTTATCTTGACCAACGCTGCAGCCTCCTTACTTCATTCAAAGTTGGCTCTAGAAGATGACACTCCGAGTGCCGCCGCAGCGAGTACCGCTACAAGCAACAATTCAACTTGCGCTCCCGTTCTGCTAGAAAGCGAGGAGCGCCTTGGTTTCTGGGGATTCCGTGATTCTGGGTTTGCCTTGCAAGTCAGCAAGGAAGGATCACACTACGTGGTTATGCGAGGTGACAGGTACTCAGTCACCGGGAAGTCCATGTCGAAATTGATACCTTTTGTCGAAAGAGAAACAGGTGTACAGATCAATCCTTTCAACGAGGCTTTTCAGGCCACACAAAAATCCTCAACTGATTGGAATACCGAAACTGTGCTGAACAAAGATGATTTGAAACTCCTACAATCAACCGTTTGGAAGTTGACGACCGCCTTGCCAGACCGAACCCGCCATGGCTCAGGGCACTCACAAGAAGACATTTTTTCAATTCGTTCAGAGAGCCCTATCCGTGTGCCAGATGCGGTGGTCTGGCCCAGCTCCGAAGCGGAAGTTAATGCACTCATCGCTTTGTGCAAAGAAAAGAGCTGGTGTCTAATACCATTTGGAGGGGGCACCAACGTCACAAACGCCACCAGATGCCCCGACAAAGAAGTCGAACCACGTCCGATCATTTCAGTAGACATGACAAAGCTCAACAGACTGCTCTGGCTCAACGAGGAGGATGGCTTGGCCTGTTTCGAGGCTGGCATCAATGGGCGTGACTTGGTTGCAACACTGGAACAACGGGGATACACGATGGGACACGAGCCCGATAGCATAGAATTCAGCACGTTGGGAGGTTGGATTGCGACGAAAGCGAGCGGAATGAAACGAAACAAATACGGCAATATCGAGGACATTATCAGAAGTGTCCGCGTTGCATCTTCGTCGGGTATAGTGTGCCAAAACGCCGAAACACAGAGCGACTCTGACAAAGCCGTCTTTGGAAGGGAATCTTGCGGCCTGGACTTTCGGTCCATAGTCCTTGGATCCGAAGGTTGTCTCGGCATCATCACAAGCGCCGTTGTAAAAGTCTGGCCCATTGCGGAAATCGTAGAGCACGAGAGTATTCTCTTTCCAAGTTTCGAAACTGGTCTGGGTTTTGCTCGGGACATTTCCAGGCTCGATCGTCTTGTTCCTGCGAGTGTGCGGTTGCTGGACAATGAGCATTTCCGACTAGGGCAGGCGCTGCAAGGAGATCCATCATCCCTGAAGGATCGATGTCTGAGAGCCTTGCAGGCCCTCTTTGCTGCCAGTAATTTCGGCAGCAGTTTAGACCCCACAACCGTGGCATGCGCTACAGTTTGCTACGAAGGGAGCAAGAGTGAAGTAAACTTGCAGAAAGCAGAACTCAAACGATTGGCAGCGAATCGTGGTGGATTCCTCCTTGGTCCCAGAATCGGCAAGGCTGGCTACGATCTGACTTTTCTCATCGCCTATTTAAGGGACTTTGCCATGACCTACCACTTCCTTGGCGAGTCCTTCGAAACTTTTGCCCCATGGTCAAAGGTCGCAGACATCATCGACAGCACGAAACGAAGGGTGATTCTCGAACACGAAGCTCGATGCCTACCAGGCAATCCCTTTGTTGGATGCCGCGTCACACAACTATATCATGATGGAGCTTGCTTGTATTTCTACGTTTGCATCAATACTGAAAACGTAGCGAATGCAAGCCATGTCTTCTGTGAAATCGAGCATGCGGCGAGATGCGAGATTTTACAGCACGGTGGGTCATTGAGTCATCACCATGGCATTGGCAAAGTGCGAGCCCGACTTCTACACGAATCAGGAAGCCCGGTATACAAGAGCATTTTGGGTTCAGTAAAAGAAACCATGGACCCAGACAACATCTTCGCTGCCCGCAACGGGTTGTTCTGTGCATACTAGTAGAACGAGCGGGAGTGCTACAGCACTTCATGCCTCAACTCCCTCGCACCCCCCTAGCCCCCATTTGCCCTGCTCCCTGCTTTCCCTGTGATTCCCCACCACCGATGCCCTGATCTGAGCTCTAGAGTGCTCCGCTGCCGGTGCTGGGCCCCTCCCATGGTCGATGGTCTCCCTCCACGATTGGATCGACTCACACTTCAGTTTCTTTGAAGTTCTTCTGAAAAGATCCAGTCAGATCTTGCTTCCTGCAAGATTTGATCGCTTGATTCATTCGACTCGACTCGACTCGATTCTCGTTCCACCCTTGGAAGCGCACTCGTACGCGGTGTCAAGCTCACAAAAAAAGACCTGAAAGAACTGAAAAAACTAAAAAAAGCCAACACTCTACCATGACAGTTACAACGTCTCAACACACTACCAGAAGCACCCCTCCCGCTCCACGTGAAGGATTCTTCCTGAACCAACTAGACACTTTCATTGGCCCTGGCGCAACCACCGCAGAGATATTTCTGCAATTTGGTGCATCTTTCGTGATCGGTCTCCTGTGCTTTTGGATCAAATACGACAACGACGCGACTGAAGTCTCTACGAATTGGAAGCACAATGCTATCGTGATTGGGTTGGGGATGGATATGATTGGCGGCGTCGTAACCAACTCGACAAGTGCCGCGAAACGCTGGTACCACCGCCCTGGGCAGAATTTTTCCCAGCACATGACATTTATTGCAATTCACGCAATGCAAATTGGAACGGTTGCCTTCCTGTTCTGTCCCCAAAAGGATCAGCAATGGTTTTACTTTGCAGCTGTGTATGGGTGCTTGCTGGTATCGTCGACGATTGTGCATTCTGTCCCGTTGTACCTCCAGCGCCCAATGGCCATGTCGTTGGTGGCGACAGCTATTCCCATGAGCATGTCAAAAGTGTTGCCGGAGACACCAGGAATGGAATGGTTCATTCCCTTGCTGTTTCTGAAACTCTTGGTTTCTCACTTGACCCCGGAGACGTCGTTTCAGCCTGGTGAGGCGTGGCACGAGGAAAACGCAAGGGCAAAGAATGTTTGAGTTGCAAATGTACAACTGTAGCACCAGCTAATGGGAGTTAAAACAAGAGTGGCTACACCACGCGACTACTCAGGTATTGTCAGTTACTGTGCATTCATCGCGTCTATTTGTTTGACTGTAGCACAGCGAGAATGGTGCTTCAGATACACTCCGAGGAGGTCTCTGCTACCGGTACGTTTGGAGGTGTGGGCTCAAACGGAGGTGTTGCTGAAGACCCTACTTTGCAGGGTTAGGCTGATGCGGTACTGTTCACGACACGCTCTGGAGTCGGTCGTGGAGCTACCAGCTCAACTCTAAAGATCGTTCTCCTCATTGGCTACACAACAGCATGGCCCTCGATCCAGGCAGCTGGCCAATCTGCACTCTTTTGGTTCTGTGTCATCCTGTCGAGTTGAGCTGGAACAACCGGTGCATCGTCGAGAGTCTTCGAGGGCTCGAGTTGAATTTGGTTCTCCAAAGGGCGTACACGTTAGCTACGTTATTAGAGTCGAGTTTTTAAGTAAACATTCAATAATTGATCTGGGTTACTAGAACACAGTTCTTGCAGAAGAAACGTGGAAAACTAATGCAAATTATGATGGTGTGGTGATGGCATTGGCTCCGACCTGAGGCAGGCACTACAAAGGCAGCCATTTTCCGACACACTTAGTTTCCCTTGTAGACAAAAGGCTTGGGGAGGAACTTATAGGGCTCCTGGGGCACACCTCCGTTGGCAGGGTTGGCAATTTCCACTTTGAGTTCGTCTTCCAACTTGAACTGTTCCTCCATGTACGATCGATACGCCTTGAAGTATCCAGAGTAATCCATATCAGCTTTCCAGGTTTGATCGAATTTTTCTGTACCAATAGATTTGTGAGCGACAAAACGCATTTTCTGTTGGGCTTCCGCCCATTGCTCTTCCGTGACATGCTCTTTCATTCCCTTGACAACTTTCGCCATCTTTTCGACCTGGCATTCGCGGGCATCGACATAGGGATGAAGACACTTCCTCAAATGATAGGCTGCCCAGGTATTTGGGTTAATCGTAGCAACCTCCTCGGGGTAGCTTGCCTACAAAATTAATCAATCCAGTGGAATCACAATGAGGACGGCAGCTGCAAACAACCATCAACCATCGATCATTCAACAAACCATGAATCGATTCAGCTACCTGCATCTGACATACCTGAGCTGTCTTGACGCAATCCGCCCATGCGAGCATTTGCTTGGAGCACGGCGCATTCGGTTTGCTGGCCCTCTGCTGAAGCTTTTCGATCTTTTCGACTGAAGGGTACAAGGAGGCAAATGCCTCAAAAACTGGCATATTGGCAAAGGAATACAGAGAACAACCTCTACAAAAAGCTATTAAATTAAGCACTCTTGTGCCCACGAAGCTTATCCTGCCGATCCTCTCTTCAAGAGCTACTTTAGAAGACGCAGACGTGATGCCGATGATGTGTTGCCGTCGTGCTGCGGTTGCTGCTTTCGGATATGGCAGCGGAAAGCTCATTAGGGCTATGGCTGTTTGGATCATTTTCAGTTAGGGTTAAGAACAATTGAAAGGGAGAGGATGCTTGGGCATCCGTGGGAGAGGCTCAATTTCGACCTTCTGATGAGGGCTGCACTCGTACGAGTACTAGACTACCGATACTAGCTACAGTAGCTAGTACATCTATAGCTAGATCTGGCAATACCGTAGCTGGTGCAACGGAGCATTCGATCAGTTTAGCTGCCTAGGCAAACATTGGCACAGAGGAATGCTACAAACGAGGTCTTGCTGAGGCGATGTCCCCCACCCCCGGTACTAGTATTCTTTCCTAAAAGAGTTTATGGGAGCTAGCGAGCAGCATTTCCGGAGCGCTGTGCAGCTCCTTCATCAGAAGAAAACACTAGCTAATGGTAGCCAGAGGCGATGGTAGCTTTTGCAGAGGTCGGCTTTTGGGAAAAAAGGACCAGTACGGAGCTCGAGTTCACAAATATCTTATCGTCATGCTGTCTCCGCTTCGTGACGATGGGCTCATTTCCTGAAGAAGTGGAGAATCTTTCCCACTCCAACCCTGATCATTAGATTCATAGAGAATCTACCAAAACAGCAAAAGTAGTGAAGAATCTCAGAAGCACGCACTAGGTTTTGCTATCTGAGGTTTTGCTATTACAACCTACCTAGCTACTGCCACTTACAATGATACGATCTGAATCAAGAACGCAAATACAAGTGGTATTTCGAAACACTGCTCAAATCTGCTGCCCCTCATCTCTCCTCACTTTGAAGCAAAGTTGAGGTGAGAATTCGAACCAAGTGGCATGCCATTGAAGGAACATATCCTTGCTTTCGTGCTTGAGTTACAATTAGAGTGTGGATAACTATACGGTACGGAACTGAGATCTGATAGTTCAGCAGAAGAAAGAAACTAGGATATCATGAGCCAAACAGTGGACACAGCAAAAACGCCCGAGCACGGTGAACAAATTGGAACAATCTTATGAGCAAGTTTCGAGTAATCGTATCCATGTTTGAGCAGCCAATCATCTTCTTCAAAGAGGTCGTACGTACTCCACACCACACACAGGCAAGTGCAAGAGATGTCAACTCATTTTTCTCCCATTCGTTGCTTTGAAACCATTCTGGCCCCTCGTTGGCTCGCACAAAAAGTAAGTGGAATCCGGCCTTCCGATAGAAGCCCTCGCAGTCAGATTAGATTTTTCTTGCTGATTTCTTGCTGACCTACTTGAAGAAAACCCGACGCTGACCTACTTTGCTTTCGATTTTGCAATGCGACCTTCTCTCCTTTCCAAATTTGCCACTGTCTCAAAACAGGGTTGTCCATTGATTCAACACCAAGCACAACAAACCATGAAGTTCTCGTCTACTTTTGCCCTGTCCATGTTGGTAGGATCGGCTTCGGCCTTTTCTCCAGCTTCTCCTATCCAAAAGGCCATCAACCGTGCCAGTTTCTCTAGTGTGGCTGTGGAGATGGGAGAAAAGCCTGTCTTTGATCAAGAACAATTCATTCAAGAATCCAAGGATATGCGTCTGAAGCACTTGGAGGAACAGGCCATGTATGCCTTGAAAATCTCGGCGGAGAACTACGGGCAAGTTGGATTTACAAAAAGAAATCTTTTTCTGGGGGTATCTCTGTGGACAACAATGAACTAACATTTTTCCCTCCTTTCTTGCGCGGCTTTATCTCTCCTGCTACCTTGAATTTAATTCAATTCATGGGACCACAACAGAAATGCTGGTGAGTTTGTTTTCTCTAACGAATGATCCACGTGAATGCTTTATCAGCATATTAACCTCTGATACCCCATCTTTCTCCATTTCCAGTCTTCCCTAATGCCATGATTGCTGGAGATTTGGTATGTTTACACCTCCTGGCAGATAGAGGTTTTTTGTTTGGTGTAGCTTTTCTTCTCACCTCCAGTTTGCTTACCTCCACTCTAGGTTATCACCGACTTGTTGGGCCGAATGGGCTACTTGAAGGATGGCAAGGTGAAGGTCATGGTTGTGGATACCTTCCATTTGTTCCCTGAGACCATGGAATTTTTGAAGAAAATCGAAGATCACTATGGATTCAAGGCAGAGGTTTTCTGCGCCGAGGGAATCCCTGTAGGTGACAAGGACGCGTTCGATAAGCGATACGGAGCTGACTTGTGGAAGGAGGATATTGATGAATATGACCGTGTCTGCAAGGTCGAACCATTCCAACGTGGTCTGAAAACACTTGGAACTGACTGCATGATCAATGGACGTACCCGCTGGCAAGGATTTGAACGTGCCTGGATCGATCTTTTCGAGAATGCCCCCATTGGAGGAGGATTGGCCAAGTGCAACCCCATTGCCTACTGGACTTTGGAAGATACTTTTGATTACTTTGCCAAGCACAAGGTGCCTTACCACCCTCTTCACGAAAAGGGATACCCTAGTATTGGTGATGCCAAGGATACGATCCCCATCCCAGAAGACGGCAGTGTCAAATTTGTCAACTACGAATGGGAGGGAGACAAGACCCAGTGGCTCGACTATGCCACCGAACGTAAGGGACGCTTCGTTGGATTGGCTAACAAGGATGGATCCACCAAGACTGAATGTGGAATCCACGTTGAAGGTGCTGAACGCACATGGGATCGTGATTTGTGGGAAGCTGACAAGAGTAGCGTCAAGAAGGTTGACTCCTCAGATGCCGCCTTGGAGGTTGTCAAGAGTGGAAAACCAGCCGTCATGGTTGTCTATGCTCCATGGTGCCAATTCTCTCAAAATATGGAAGAAGAATTCGAGTCCTTTGCTGGAGCCACTGATTTGGATGTCTTCTCCTACCGTGGAGACGAAGACCGTGAATTTGTTCAGGCCAACTTGAACACACAATCATTCCCCACAGTCAATGTCATCAAGCCCGACGGAACTGTTGTCAAGTACGAATCCGAGGAACGCACTGTTGATGCTTTCAAGAAATTCGTTGAGGAAACACTTTAACTTCTTTTACAAGGATGCCTCGGTAATTGGAAAGTCTAAAGAATAGCACACAATGCCATCATAAACAAACACCAATCAACACCTCATAAGCAGTTGCTTTTGCGTCCACAAAAACAAATGTCAATGAATGCATGCATCCTCAATATTCATATGTTTCTTCGGCTTCGCTCGCTTTGAGGTACTACTGGCAGGAAAAGATGGCGCTTCCCGTCGGCACCGTAGTTGCTCCGCTATGTTGTGCCTTAGCCAAAGTGTTGTTCTTTCTAGGTTACTAGAATATCATACCGTTAGGCATGTTGCAAAAGGGTGAATTCGTGGTCGCTGGTGCCCATCGACTAGCTAGTCCAAATGAAGAAACAGATAATGTAGTTAGCGGTGTGTTGCGCGCATTCATCAAAACCAATTCCTGCCCTATAGTGTTATTCGGCAACCAGTACTTGGAGGTTCAAAAATCTACTTGAATGATGTTTTTATTGACGGGAACTCCAACATAGCGGTAGCTCCTCCGACAGTACAGCAAAGAATTATACCGGGTGCGTCATGATCTGATTAGACCATGATTTCCTCGATCTTCACGGCTCTCATCAAATCGTTCACTTCCTTCAAAGTGTAGGAGCCACTGGCAGTTTTGGCCGAATCTTTGTCGCAAAAGGCTGAATAATGCTCCGGTGTAAATTCCGCTTTCCATTGTTCGAGAGTCGTTGGGAGCTCTTTGTCCTCTTTGTAATGGATCATGAACCTTCGAAACCTCATGAGTTCGTCAAACTCAATGTCTGTGATGATATCCTTTCTGACGAGTTCACCGAGCTTTTGTGAGTTCATTCGCAGGAGGACTCCAGGTGTTGAGATTCCTGCCTCCATTATCGCCGTGACTTTCTCTTCGTCGACTTCAGCCACCGTTAAGATGTACTGGAATACCTTCATCCGATTTTCCTTCACACCCGAAACCATCTTGATGCCTTTCGAAGTAAGGATGCTAACAGGGGTAGGTATCCAAATTGCATTGGAAGTGGATCAAGCTTGTTGTTTGGTTCGCCTTGGTCTTGAGTCTTGTTCCGAGCTGAGTCACAATAAGTCTTGGGGAATTTTTTCATCGCCAACTTTGCTTTGCCCGAAAGTCCCTGCTTCCCGTGACGAAAGGGTGGCCTACGATACATGTAGTTGAATATGAGTGGAAGCTACCAATCTATGAATACACATACAGCCGTGCATCTCCACTTCAACACAGTACAGTAAGGTACAGGCACCGGGCCCTGGTTTTTGCCGTAGCCCAAAAAGCCAAAAACCAAAAGAATGGCGCACACTATCGCACCAGCACAGATAAAATTGGGTTTCCTGAGGTTCTGTCCCTTGAAGCGGTTGAGCTGTTGTCCGTTTTGCAAAGACCCGATTTATCGTGAAGGCTGGTGCTTGCTTTATAGCGGTATCGGTAGCAATTGAGGGCATGCATTGCATCATTCGCCTGATTGAAAAGAGTGACAGTCCATCAGATCAAAGACAAGGTGAGGTGCGAAGGGTGAGATATTTCTTCAAGCTTTGTTTCTGTAAACTCGTTGTCCATTGCTGGTGTCTCTGTATATTGGACGATGGAGGTTGCAGTCTGGCTGGCCTAGATGGCGCGTGTGCGTCTGAGACTACCGTATCGTACGGTACGATACAAACTTTTCTGTTGGACGCGTTGGTGACTTTGGAAAGCGAGTGCCTCGTCTCGTCGCTGAAAGAGACGGCATTGGATGACATGGCGAGTCCACCAAGGATCGGATCATGTACATCGACGTCACAATCAGAGACATCACCGTGACAACCTCGTTCTGATGGCTTGCATGGTCCAAGGACATCCTCGGCATAACTCATGATGCATCGCTTCACAAAGACGTTGTAGCAACCAAAATATGTTGCCTGGGCATTGAGCGGACAAAAGCTGCGAACGTCGGAGGATTCAGCAAACCAAAACCCCGAAGCAAAACAACCACGCGGAAAGAATCGTATTCAGGTAGACGCGGTAAAACATGATCACCTTCTTGCATTTTCAAAGTAAACATAACTCTACCTCTATAAGATCCTCATCTTCCTTCATTTACGTCTGGCCTGCTCGCAGGACCCAAAAGCTTCGGACCCAATTTTTTTTGGCAAGGCCATCATCACCTCCAAAGCGAACAGACCATGATGCCTTCAGATACTAAGCTATAGTATGTTTTGAACTATTCAGTTGCTATGGTTGAGTTTGGCCTTTTCCAATCAACGGGTTTCGAGCGAAAGATCAAGACGTCCTCAGCTAGATACCCTAAGCTCACAAAATCAACAAACAAAAACAGAGCAAAGCAACTGAAGAAACCGAAGAACAAAGAAACAACCTGACAAAGCAGACCCCAGAAGCCAGACAAATCATGATGAAAGCAACGAGTATCAACACTAATGCCCAGTCCAACGACTGGCGCTTGACCCTCTTTGGGGATGACATTCGCCTCAACCCCTCAACCATCGACGGCCAGAAAGATAACGCTCCAGATGTGGAACAAGCCCCACCGGTTGCGACATTCGTGCCGACCCTCGAAGCATTTGATCCCAAGCTTTATGACTACATTGCCATCTTTATCGGTGCCAACTACTGTCCACATTGCCGCGAGTTTGCTCCTACTGTCGCCTCCAGCGTGCCAGCCCTCGAGCAGACAAAGCGCTGTAAGGTTGTCTTTGCGAGCAACGACCGTGATGAAGACAACTTTGAACAGAGCCGGAAGAAAAATGCGGGCATTGACGTGATGCCTTATGATGTCTCCAAGACTCAGGCGATGCGAGACCTCTTTGGCTTGAAGACTATTCCCGCCTTCATGATCATCAAGAATGACAACTTCCAGGCCGAATCCCCTACTGTTGTGACCAACGCCCGCCACAAGCTCGTCGCGGATCCTTTCGCAAAGAATTTCCCCTGGACGGAGGACGATAAGAAGACGCAACAACAGGAAGCCATGTCGACAATGGAGAGGTTCTGGATTCAGGGAAAGTATGGTCACTGGTGGCAGTTGGGCCATCATGCCAACCCTGAAAAGCCCGATGACATGTACATGGACGAACACGCTGTCCGCATTCGCGCTGGAATCCTCAACAGCATCACCTGGATTGCCTTGATGAACGTATTCTTTTGGAAGGATCAGATCTATGTGCACATCCTCTTCCCTTTGGTTGCCTGGGAATTTCTGTCTAGTATGACGTTTGGCATGACTCCGTTGGCACCAATTGGCACCATTGGAACTCTTCTCGCGATCCTTTTGACCCCAGCTCCTCACTGGAAACCAGCTCGTCCCAAGCGATTTGCCTGGGCGATTGGGTTGACCTTGGCAACTCTTTGCTTCACCTTCTTTTCCCTCCGCGAAGAGTTGGGATCCAGCTACCGCTACCTCATTGCTGGGGTTGTGTTGACCTGTAATGTGGCAACCTGGTTGGAATCTTCAGCAGGTTTCTGTCTTGGGTGCTTCGTCTACAACAACTACTTGGTCCCCTGGTTGGAGTTGGAACAGTGCCAAGAGTGTCAGTTGTAGTTGGCATTCACGGGATGGTTGCAACATGGTACGATGTATTGGATCCTTGCGCCCCACAAAAATTTAATGTATGTTATGAGTCATAGCTAGACGAAACAGAAACAGAGAAAAAAGCAATGCACAGAAAAGAAAAGCAGCAATAAAAAACTAGTAAAGAATCATGCATGAAAAGGAAGCATTTTGATCGAGTGAGCGCACATCGTTGCGATGCTACTTGCTAACTCAAAGCCCCAGGCAAAATCAGCCAGTTGTCATTTCTACACACGGCTAATTGGGCTGTTGTTGTGTTCTTCCCAAAAGCGGTTCTCTCCTCTTGCGCTCCTCATGTTTTCGGTGGAGGCTCAATGCTCAACGGGCTCTCCAGTTAGTTCCAATTGTCAGTCCCATTTTCACCATAGGAGTCATGATGTATCATACCGGTATCTATGTTAGCATTAGAGCTTGCTTGGCGATATATCGTGACCCAGCTGCCGTTGCAGGTTGCAGACTCAATAGACGAACACTTACCAAGAAGCCAAAGCGTGGCCTGTCGCTTCTCATTATTTTCCAACGGCCCATCCATCGTTCGGTACACCATGACAACACGGTCAGGGCGCATTCGTTTGCAACAGCTGCAGCATCCTTGTTGGAAGACTACCAGTAAAGTACCATTCCTTTGTCCACTAACTCCACAATGTCTAAAACAATTGAAACAGGAGAGCTTTCAGTTGATGGTGAAAACACAAAGCAGAGGGTATTTGGTGAGAGTGTGAATATCCCATTGTCTCCCTCCGATAAACCGCAGCACGACGCACCACCACCGAGATACAATGAGAGCTCTCGATCATTAACAAATCATGCGGCTTTAGTCTGCATGACAATTATCATTATGCTTTCCATGAACGCCTCCCTCATGATATCCAAGATGGCATCATCGAGTGACAGGAAGAGCTCCAATGGAGCCATCGCTGGCCCCAAAGGTAACCTTCTCGGAATCTACTACGTAAACATTCCCAAGGTTAGTCCTTCTGATCCTCGAACTGCCGTCGCCTCACTCTCTTCTCAGTCCTCGGAAGCATTTCATGAAAAAGACCACCCGGAACTTGTTGACGAGGAGGCCTTTTTCCTCCGATACTACATCATGCCTCTGGAAGAGGTGCCAGAAGCTGAAGCCGAAGCTGAAGAAAGATCTAACCATACCAATGCCAGCAGCAACGACGTGAACGCTTTGCAATTCAATCTTTCTGGTAATGCGTCCGAGGGACCAGAGGCGGCAGAAACTCCCATCAAGAGAACATCCAAATTGCGCCTAATGCGACCTCGAGCAAGACTACTGCAAACCGCCAGGGCTCTACAGAAGGAGCTTGAAATCGCCGCGCGAGAAGATTTTGTGAAACCTTTTTTTCGAAAGTGGACACAGCGCTTCGATGCCGTCACAAGTCGTTTCCAAAGCGATGCCAACAACAATGCCGCAGCTTTGAACTCCACAATGCCTCGCCTGCAACTGATGCCAATCAAGAAAGGAGGTGCACTGCCCAATGCAATTTTGGGTATCTTTCCATTTTTGCCTGCCAAACACAATGCAACTAATTATCCTGGTGCGACTGTCCTTCCCAAAGCCCTGACACGCCGCAGACATGTAGAACGGGCCAATCCAAACAAGGGCAAGACATCCGTTTGTCCCACCAATCTACTTTGTTATTTTACCATTCCTCCAACCTCCGTAAAAAAAGATGTCATCTGTGCAACCTACTGCCGTCGCTGCCTGGAGACTACTGCGAGCTTCAGAAGCCATTGAACTGTACATGGCAGATCCAACCAATCATACCTCGCACGTGGCAACAACGTATGGGTGGCCCATTCGCAATTGGTGCACCTCCCACCTGACCGACTTTTCCTATATCTTTGCCAACAAAACGCTGTTCAAGAAGGAAGACATATCAGGTTGGGATTTGTCGTCGGCAACGACCATGCGGACCATGTTTGGGCCGAAGGAACCAGCATAGCAGGATTATTCTGGTAAAAACGGGGCAATTGTAGCTAATGTGGCAAAGCAATTGAAAAGTTCCACGACGTGCTATCCTTGACTGTTGTAATCCCCAGCGTTGCTGGCTGCTGTACACACTTTATCGAATTGACCTGTTTCCACTTCATGTAACGATTCATCATTCTTTTGGCCGACTCGTTGGCATTGATGGAAGTATGCGCTACGAGGCTATTGTTGCACGGTGGACGTTGTTTCTTTTTACTGCTGCCTTTTATTTTAAAAACATCTATCTATCTGTATGAATGAATTGCTCCTACTCGATTTGATCTCAAGGAAGGAAAAGTCCAAGAATGGAGTGCTTCTTGTGAGATTCGCCCTTTGCGTTTCCATTTTTGATCAAGGGATCGGCGCAGATGCTGGAATCAGATGATCCGCAGATGCCGTTCATGTCACACCCGGGAGTGCCACACCATCCGTTGTTCTGTTCGTCCGTGAACCAACTGCATTTGCTTTCGCCATCGGCCATGACAGTGTTAGTGCAGTCCAGGCAGTTTCCTGCTCCTCCGCAATGCTGCTGATTGTAGACTTCTTCCTTCGCCATGAAGCAAATGTCGTCGGCAACCATGGATGGGAAGGCTGACAAGGTGTAGCAGGCTGCATCTGCAATTTCGTCGCAGGAATCCTGGCATGACCCCGCAACCCAGGCACATCCGCCCGAGCTTGCCATACAATCAGAGCAAGAAGCCAGCGCTTGACATGAAGTGCTCTTCGGCTTTTCAACAAGCTTCTGGACTGACTGGGCAAGAGTCTTCGATCTTGGCGAAGGTTCATTGCAGGTATCGGCTCCGCACCTCCCGAGAAAGTCACAGCCTCCGGTTCCGCACCAATTCATACCGCTTTCTTCGTCCGTGTACCACTGACAAGGGGTTTTCCCGTCGGATTTAAGAGTTGATGTGCAGGTACTGCAACTGTCGTGATCTGAACAGAGCCTGTGGTCTTCTTCGTCAACAAAGGCTTCTTGACAAATCCCATCAACAGGGATGCCCGTGAATGTCTCAGTGCTGTAGCAAGTTGCGTCTGCAATTGTGTCGCAGGTGGCAATACACTCACCGGCAAACCAGCCACATCCATCTTCCACACAAGAATGGCAGCCGAAGGTTCCAGCAAGGAAGCAACGTTCATCTTCAGGGTCTGTGAAGCAAACATCTGTACCCATGGTCCATGCATCCGAAAGTAAGGGCTTGCAAGAATTCCATTCAGGATGCCAAAAGCAGCTGTCCACTCCATTTGATAGCTTTGTAGATGTACAGCTACCGCATTCGTTTTGGGCATCACAGATTGCATGGTTCCGGTCCGCCTCCTCTGAGATTGCGCAAATCTGCTGGCTGTTCAAGTTGGGAAAGACTGCATGATCATAGCAGTCTACGTCCGCGATATCCCCACATGAATCTAAGCATTGTCCAGCGGCCCAGCTGCAACCGTTAAGGACACAGTCACCACAGTTTGATGCTTCATAGCAAAAGAACGGTTCGCTCTCCAAGCTTCGTGTGGTGGGGCCCGACGATACAGCGCCAGAGATGCAAACGCTGATGATTGCAATGATCGCTTTTCCATTGGAGTGAAACATGATTGTTGTAATGAGGTTTTTGTTGGTTAATTTGTGGTTGTTGTCGTTTGTTGTCGTTTTGTGTTGTGTTGTTTTGCAATTTGTGAGCTTGATGCAGGACGATGGGCTAGCCAGTTGAGGACGAGCAGTCGTAAATGCTTGCCCGAAACATGCAAGTCCGCAAGTCACAGTTCGTATGTAGCCTTGAAGAGTGACTGGACCACTTCAAGTTACGGGTACGAATGGCACAATTGCTAAGGCGTACAGCAGTCGTTCCGGAAGGTGAAGCAACGCCTCGGTGGCTGCTCATGCATGGCAAGAAGTTCGAACGATTCATTTCGCTAAGATCTCCAGGATGTACAAGAAGGCGTTCACGAAAATATTGGATCTTTCTTCTTGGAGGAAGTGCGGCTATCGGCCGCATGAGGAGGCTGAAAGGAGAGTTGCCACTCCGGTACCGGCAATTATATAAAGTACCAACTAGCACTATTGGAACACGATCCATGCCAGGAGGCATCATTAGTACTAGTAATTCCTTATAATCATTAACACATTCCTAATGAGCCAGGGCTCTTTGCGAGATGCAAGTGGAGCTGTGAATTAAGTAGGGATCGTGCAAAGCGCATATCACTGACGGCTGCAGAGTTTGCTTGCTTGGTGCATCTAACTAGTCGAGTCGATTCGACGATTTGCGATCAACTAAAGTCGCGACTGTGCATCAACGAGTCATTAGTGGTAGTGTACACTCGTAGTTACCCACTGCACAGCCAATTTCTGAAAAATAGCAGCTGCTAAATGGCAGCTTATCGTTCGCTATACCCGGTTGTGAATTGAGCCACAGTTAATAGATAACTCATACGTGAGTTCCTTGCAAAACCGATGCATTCATTGGGATGTGCTTCGACTTTTCGTGTCGGCGGCTCCAGAAAGAAAACAGCAAGCCCTCATCTTCACAACAATGAATGACACTGTCACTTGTATTTTTTCAAGCAACTTTAATCAACGCTTGTCTCCAACTTCAAAGATATGCACTTCAATGGGGTCGTCCACGCTTCCTTGCTTCGTTGAATTTCCACCCATTCCACTTCGCAGAAAAGGAATAACTGGACCCATGGATGACTCTTGTTTCATGCTGACGGGTCCCAAGGTGGCAATATGAAATTTCCAATTGGTGCCTTCAGCCAATGCATCGGGGACCAACTCATCGTTGATTGCCTTTCGAACATCTTCAAAGGAAGAGTATTCCATAGAGTCCACCTTGACAAAGCCAATGTTGCTGTATGACTTGCTGTTGTTTCTCCCTCCTCGTTTCATAACCTTGCAATACAGCGGTGCATCCTTTTCTCCTCGCTTTCGTTCCTTGCGTTTTCCATGTCGCTTACTGCTCTTGGTTCTCTTTTTTTTGCCCCGTTGCGGTGACATGACATTGTGATGATCCTCGCTGCTAGTAATGGTAGCTTCCTTTGGTTTCTTTTTGTGGGGAATGGGGAGCAGCTGTGGTTGATCTTCCGCGTGACCATTCCAATCCAGTCTCATATGCAAGGGTTTGTCCTCTTCAACAATGGCGGCTTGTAAAGCTTGCTGGAATTGAAGTGCTCTTTGTTTCCCGGCCGCCCTGGCGGTTTTGCCCAAACTGAATAATGGTTTCAAAAAACAATGTGAGAAGTCAATAGCAAAAGATGAATGAAAGATCTCCAACGTTGCAGGATATCTTACTGGTAATTTTCTGTGAGGCCCTCGTGCCATTTGACAATCTTGTTGCTGGTGAGTACGGCAAAGGGTGTCTCTTGGCACTCAAAAAAGTAGACTATATGTTTCTGCAAAATTGTGAGAAACCGTACGCCCTCATTGCTAGCCACATACGTGTAGTTGGTACCTACCTTTCCCAAGTTCTTTTTGGCTGTCTGACGAGCACTCCCCTCGGTCAGGCGAGGATCAAAGACACAACTGGGCCAATATCCATAACCAATGCCGCCATGGGCAAAGCAGACCTCACCGAATCGCGACGTGTACTCTCTGGGAAGTGCATTGACGGTATCATTAAATCCATCATCTTTGACGGTGGCCGTGCGGGTCGTCTTGGCTCTGCAATTGTCTGTCAATATTGATTGATTAAAAATCACATGCTATCAGTGAGATGGACGGTGCTCATCTTGGATGCATAATTATTGTCCTCCACTTACCACAGAACCAATCATCCTCGGGTACAGCCGCCAGGGGAGGGTCCAAACAGTACGTGTGGTACTCGTCGTTGCAGCCCTCACAGAGCATCAAGTTGTTGTGGTCATCATCCTTGACACAAATCAGACAACCCGTGTCATTGCCTTGCCGGGGGCCGTCGCTAGCATGCGAGAAGGTTGGTCGACCATTAGAACTCAACTCTCCTTGGGCTTGCAGCTGACGGATTAGGCAGCGCCGTTCCTCCTCTTCCAAAAACATTCCATCTTTCGAGGCCATTCTTGCTTCGCACACACAGAAAAGAACAGACCCAGGAACCGATGCGGTACGACGATCAGCACCTTTGTTCCTTCAAGTCTGGTACTGTATCTTGCTTTGACCAATTGATCAGTGGCTTCAACAGGGTGAGAACAGCGGGAATAATACATGTAAGAGGACTGGCAAGGGCTTCTCTGCTACCGTTGCAGATCAAACAGGATCCAAAGAATCGTCACTCCCTTGCAAGATTCACCTGCCAAAGCTCCTGCCAAAAGCCTCGCAAGCTTAAGCCAGCTCAGCAGCTTCAACTCAGCTCTCAGCCCCTTCTCCCCTTGAGAAGCTCTCGCCTCCCCAAATCCCAAAGAACAACCACCAGCTTCTAATGCTACCGGAGACTTGACTGTCACTCTGCAACGGTCAGCAGTGCAGGACCATGACAATGGTGCCTCTCCGGGAGATCTCAGTCGCCCAAGCCGCCCCGGATTGCTCAGTTCAGTGTTTTGGCTCCATAGAAACCCATCGTGGTCTATTCTAGTGAGTACGGTAGTTGCTACACATTCTATGAAAGAGCCAGGGCTTCTCTTGATTCGATTCAGGCCAGCTAGCTAGAAGGATCCAAGAACAAGGAAGCCCATACCGTAGCCAGCCTCCACCAGCAGCTCACCGGCAAATTCAGATGCTTGAGCTACTGGCTAGCTAAACTTCTTCAGAAGCGAGATGATCATGTACTGTAGTTCACGAGCTGAAGATATTGAGAAGGCTCTCGGAAAACTAGTAGGTCAACCAGGCAGCCCAGTCAGCTTCTCAGCTTGTCAACGGTGCGCCAATGCTTCAAATTATTGCACACTGTACGTGTGATGCTGGGTTCCCACCGTTGATTTCTGGAGCAATGCTGTCCAGTGAAATTCTTCAGAATGAAACAACAGCTGATGACCTGTCGACACTGCTTCTTTCGGTGCAATTCACAGCTTGGCACAATCAGATTCAAAAGTTCACTACATACATGTACTGTATCAATCTATCTTTGGTGACTCGCCGAAGCTGTGATGCTGTCGCAAGCCGCAAGCTGGCTGCAATGCAACGCTGCCATCGGCGCAATTTCCGTTGGCATGCATCCTTCCGAACAGGTTCTCAAACTGGTCATTGGGGAGAACAGCGAAAACCGTTCAATCCGAACAACGACATTTGTTTAGAAGACCCCAATTATTGAGCCCTTCGCATTCAAGGCATTCTCTGTTGCTCAGGATGTTTCGCTTACACCAAAGGCATCGGGGAAAAGAAATCATTTAAATGAAAAGGCTTGAGAAGGCCATTGTCAAAACTTCAGTCTTCACTGTATTTAACAAGTTGAAGGGAAAAGAACAGTAAAACCTTGAAAGTTTACCCAAGATTTGATCGTCACCTTTGCAGCTTCTCCAGGAGGTCCAGCCAGTCCCATCCAGCATCCAGCCTTGTTGTCAACTCCAAACTTTCATGGCTCTCATCTCTCATCATTAGCTCATCATTCATCATTCGATCTGCTCTCTCCGTTCTCATAATTTGAGTTTTCAAAAACACAAACACCAACTCTTCAAAACCAACGACAAAACCAAACAACAACCATGGGCTTTTCTGATCTTGACTTTGCTACCATCCATGATGTCATTAACTCCTGGGAAAGACTTCGTCAACTGAAAGACTATGATGTAGAAGCTGGCACCCTCCTGTTCTCCCAGTAAGTCGACTATCATCTTCCATTCTTTTCTCCTCCATTCTGCAACTCTTCTCTTACCAATGATCTTTCATTTTTCTCTCATCAAAACAGCATGTTTGACAAATGCCCTCGCACCAAAGTCCTCTTTGGTTTTCCGTTGGACATGGCCACAGACCACGATTCCTTGTTATCCAACCGCCGATTCAAAGCCCACTCCAAGTACATGATTTCCATGCTGGGCAAGGCACTCAATATGCTGGGGCCTGATGATGAGTTGCTCACAGAAGTCATGTCAGATTTGGGAAAGAAACATGTCCAGCTGGGCATTGATGATGAAGCCTACTACAGAGTTATGGGTGATTCCTTGTTTGTGGCATTGGGCGAGCTGCTTGGAAAGGAATTCTCTCCACAAGTGGAAGAATCATGGACCATTGTGTATGGCGAACTTACATCAGCCATGATCAAGGAGATGCGTCAAAAGTGAGTCCATCAGCACCAGCCAAGGCTATCCCTTCATACAACTACATCCACACTATAAACAATAGTAACTGCATTTTATCTTCCTTTGCAGTGTTCTTCTGAAGTAGTGTAGCACTGATTCTTTGTCAACTAGCTTCGCACCCCAAAAGCGCCCCTATCTACAAGCTGGCTTGCATTAAGCGAACCAAAGATTGGCACCTGAAAGCCAACCCAGCATATCCACAACGAGCTCCAGTTGTCTGCTTCTGCCAATGACGCACTCCTACCGACGAGCGATGGAAGGCTTCCCATGCATCCATGCATTTCTCAAGATGCCGCCGTGAAGCAGGTCTGCATCAACGATGAGGGAGGGACGAAACAGGAAGGCATCCATCAGCCAACAAGCGAAACCCATTATCTACCTAGTTAGCAAGGCAGTAGTAGCAGCTGCCAAGTGGAGGCAGCTAGCGAATAATTCGATCGATGATAGCTTTCAGCATCATGAGAACAGCACAGTCGGTGACACGAACGACTCGATCGTGTTGTAGACCGAATCATCATCATGATGAGAATCGTCGTCAAAAAAAGCTGGGGTATATCGATTATCGTTGACTCGAGCTTCGCTCCCCCTGTCGCCCGTTAGCTACGGTATCATGCAGTGGCATGGAGCTGTTTGGGCAAATCATGACAAGGAATGAGAATAGCTTATAGATGTTTTGGTCTTGACAATCTTTAGCTTTGTAACTTTGCAACTAGGTGGGCCTGAATGGATTTGCACGTGCATAAAATGTCGGCTCACGAAAAGGCAACGGAAGCGGAACGGCTGCAAGGGTTGGACTGTAGCTATTATCATCCAAGCCATGGACACTACATGCAGTCTACAGGCAACAACAAACTTCCACTATCTTCCGGAGCCATCAAATTGGAACGCAACTCCATGCAACTCCATGCAACGACATATGGTTGAAGAGACTAAAGACTAAAGCCACTGATCATAAGATGGTCAAGGTCTTCAGGCCAATAGTTTCTGGCTCGGATGCGAATAATGCAAACATACCTACAGAAGCTCCTGCGGTACAGACCTGTTGGCCGTTCTCTTTATGTTCGCAATACGAAGCAAAACTAACTGCTGCTGTCAATCAAAAGGAAGTGTCCGACAGTGTCCGACTGGCTAGAACAGAAAGCAAAGTGCAGTACAAGTACACCAGCCATCGTCCCTTGTCTCAAAAGCCACCAGAGCCACATTGTCGCAAAGGTGCACACCTCGCCCAGTCCTCGCCCACAGTTCCTGACTGCTTCTCCCGCGACCAAGAGGCTGTTTGCTGCAGGGTTGCAACTTGCAAGAGCTCTTGCAAGTCCATGAAGCATGAAGCTTGAAGGGGGGCAGCTCTTCCTGCTTTGAGGGTTAATAGCAAAGACAATCCGGGTTCTTTTGTGCCTCCCATCTCTTCTTTTAGTAAGCCAAGACATTCTTTCTACTTTGGCAAGTAAGTGTGAGCCGTCAATGACTGTAGAAGTACGATGCTTCGAAAGAGAGCCCTAAACTGTAACGTACTCGTATGCTCTTCTCTACTAGCGAAGTGAGGAGGCAAAAACACTTCTGCATCTTGGCGCTACACTCCTCCCTTGATATTAAGATATCTCTAAATTCACCTGAACCCTGAAGGCATCTTAGCAAAAACTCAAATATCTGCACTGAGAATCTTCTTAGCATTTTGTTAAAATTCAGGGTCCAAAGGCAACATCTTAGCTTTCTTGGCATTTCTATTGACCATACTAGTAGTATGGTACATACCAACCTTGCTACTCTGATTTCCACCTTACCGAACATACCCCTAGGAGAAGAGAGGAAAGAGCAGTGTATCATCAGCCGGAGGCGAAATTTTTTACTTTTGGTACCTGTTTCTAAAGCATTTTGTTGTAGAAAAGTGTCATTGTATCATCTCTCAATCTCCTATGTGCCCAAGGGAGAGTGCTTACTGGCTATCTTAGCTCTAGTGCCGATCTGAGTGTCTCAATTATCTTAACATTTTAGCAAATCTCAGTACTCGACATCTTATCTCCGACTCTCTTAATGTCAAGGGAGGAGTGTACTAGTAATCGATCAAGGAGTCCACCATCATGATGCCAAACTTGAACGGCAAATTAGCAACAGACGACAAATTGAAACTGTCGAGGGGTGATTTCTTTTGCACCACCGCGGATGTTTGGTCAGTGCAGTATAAGAAGTGTTCACGGGAACACTGGGACGCTTTCTGGAGGTCAGGCGATGTTAGCATCAAAGGCTGGCAATGCCGGCAAGTCCAGCAAGGCGATGAAGACCTTTTGGACTACTATAAGGTCACTCGGGACGCGATGGATGAGGGTATGGTACCCGTGTTGAGTCATGAGTATCCGGGACTGAAGTTCGAAATCGACTGGACCACCAAAAGCGAATTTGCAAATTCTTCACTTTTCTTTTTAGACTGACTTTTAAAATAGCTCCACCAAGGCCAAATAGTCTCTCTAGTGTTTAACCAACATCTAAAAAGAAAAGCCCTGTCTAGACAGTTATCAGTTACATTACAAGCCTCCAGGTGCTCTGTGAGCGAAGGAACAAGCCGAAACGGAGCGTCAGAGCCTCCGAACGGACGAAACGAGTAGTAGTAGTCATCGTGGACTCGAACAACATCGATAGCCGGCAACGGTTCGACGTCTTCCCAACCGACTACAGGTAAGCCAAGGGTACCACTGCGACTGCAGGAGTGAGTACGACAAGCTACCAATCTCGAACAACAACAAAAGCCGCTATTGTAGGCGAAAACGACCGATAGAAGCGCCATTGTCAGTCTTTTTCTTTCTTTCGTTTTCGATCGATCGAAGAAGAATTTGCTGACACCTTGTTGGTGAGTCCATTGAGTCAAATTGACTCATTTGACTCGAATCGGAATTTCGATTCGGAAACGGGAATCAGTGACGTTTTTGCTGACGTCATCCGGTGACATCACGTGACGTCATCGTGTGACGTCATCGCGTGACGTTTTTTGCTGACGTCATCAGTGTCACATCAGATGTCTGAGTGACGTCACACCCGTGTCACATCAGACGTCCGAGTGACGTCATAGTGACGTACCCCAAGTATACCCGATAGGTGCGCATCGACGCGCTGGACTCATATCGAAGAACGGTAATTTCGTTTGAGCTACGGTTGGAGAGCTACGGCATCTTTTGTCCGCAAGTTTCCAACACAAGTCGTCCATCATGAGTAAGACCAGAGGCAACGGCTCTGGCAGGAGTGGGTCGACCAAGAAGAAGAACAACAATAACAACAGCAACACGAGGCGGACGACGACAGTGGAGTACAAGTATGCACCTAACTCGTCCGGAAGGCAACAGTATGCGTCCTCCAAGCTGATCAGAGAGAAACTGAAACACGAGTGTGCGGAATACGAATACCCGCAAGACATTCAGTACGAGATTACAGAGTTGAAGACGATTCAACTTGATGAGCCAGAGTTGAAGTACTCCGAGGAGAAGGATGCAGAAAAGAAGGAACTCCAGAACAATGCATTCGCAAAGAACTACGACTCCGAGATGAAAGAATGGAGGGGTAGAGTGCGCAAGATTGGTTTCAACCGAACCAGAATGGTGACACTCATTCAGACGAAGTACTGCACACTAGGAATGGTTGACAAACTCAAGTCGGAAGAAGATTTCGAGTCGAAGTTGGACAAGGATCCCGTCGCGTTGCTCCTACGATTAGAGAAGCTGAGCCACGATCCGACTGGTGCAACCTATGCATTCGCTACTTTGACAAAAGCGATATTCAATCTGGTGGCGATCAAACAGGAAGAACACGAATCAGCCGATACTTTTGGTTACCGCGTTCAAGATACCTTCAACACATTGGCGAAATACCTTGGGCCGCATTGGCTCAACCAGTTCATGGATTCGCTCCCTGGATTCGACCATTAGAAAAACTGGACCAGCGATCAGAAACAGCATGGCGCCAGCAAGGTCCGGCAATCTTGCAGGCCTACATTATGGTGAACAACGCTTTCCATCCGAAGTACAAGGATTTGAAGACCAATCTCCGTGAGCGTTATACGCGTGGCCAGGACGAATACCCACGGACGGGATTTGGCAAAGGCAGTGAATATTGTCCACACCGCAAAGTATGCTTCCGACTACAAGGCCAACCGGCAGAGTGGCGGGGGTAGGAGTGGTGGAACACCGCCGAAGAACAACACTTCCAATCAGGGTGGTTCCTCTGGAGGGAGTAGTTTGCGCAGCAAGCACCGAAGAAACCAGTGTTTTGTTATTGCTGCGGGGCCCCAGATCATAAGGTGCCGGATTGCCCGAAAAAGAACCAGATTGCGCGGGATGATTGGGCTTCGAACAAGTTCAACAGCTCGGCAGCTATATTTCCGTATGGGAACTCCTACGATTCGTACTCTACGAGAAGCCATCAAGCATAATGTGATTCGGAATTGTCCTGTTACTGAGAAGGATGTTCGGAATATGGTACTCGTGTATGGAGAAGACGTGGGTGCGCTGAAGGGAAGGGTTACGCGACAGCGTCCTGCCCCAGTGAAAGTTGATTGGGCAGAGATTCCCCGATCACTAGTGGCCATGCATAAGGAATTGGAATACTGCATGGATTTGATGTTCGTGAACAAGGAAGTGTTCCTAACCGGAATTGACCTGTCTGTACGATACAGGCACTGCATTCACATCGAGAACCGAAGCAAGAAGTCTGTGCTTGCGGGTTTCAATGAGATTTTGCGCAGCTATAATGCGGCAGGATTTCGTATCTCGGTGGTTTCCTGCGATGGGGAGTTTGAGAAGATTCTCGATCCTGTCAAAGGTAAAATGCAAATCACGACGAACTACGCGTCTGCGGATGAACATGTGCATGCCGCGGAGCGAAACAACAGAATAATCAAGGAGCGAGTGCGCATTTGCTACGCACGCTTGCCTTTTGAGAGAATGCCTCGTGTGATGCTTCGGAACATGGTTACGGAAGGTGCTCATTCGGTGACAATCGTCCCGACCAAGCTTGGTATTTCAGACCAATTGAGCCCCTACACCATCATTACAGGCAGACATATTGATTATGACAAAGAACTCCAGTTTGGGTTTGGTTCTT